ACTCACCCTCACCGCTCACCACTCACCCTCACCACTCACCCTGACCACTCACCACTCATCCTCACCAATCACACCCTCACAACAACCACTGACCCTCACTACCAAAAACTACACATGTGTTAGTCCCTGGGTAGTAAGTGTTATTTTCTATACGCTGACATCTCAAAAGTTACAAATTGGAGAAAATTCCCCTCAAACTTAGTTTTTGAGATACAGTGACCAAAATTTAAATCGTAAAAATATTTTTTTTCTTACCAAAAACTACACATGTGTTAGTCTCTGGGTAGTGTTATTTTCTATACGGTGACATCTCAAAAGTTACAAATGGGAGAAAATTCCCCTCAAACTTAATTTTTTTTGACACGGACAGTGATATTTACAAATGGAGCTATTTTGCTAGGAGAAAACGTGTGCATTTGTGTAATTTTTTCCTTTATATAAAGTTCTGGTCACAAAAGCAACATGTATGGGGAATAATAGCCATCTTATATACTTAGGAGGCTTAAGCAATATAAAAATAACACTTTTTACCCAGGGAAAAATCGTGGTGCATAGTGTATATTTACTATCATCAAACATAACTTAATCCCTAACATCTTTTAATATATGAGTGATACAAAATAGTGAACATAAATATTTAAATGTTTTAACTGAGCTGTGAAGTTGCGTGACTAACCTCGTAGCTTTTCGACGGAAATAAGAATCTCCGCGATTGTTTGAAGATATCGGTGAGGGTGGGGGGAAGGTAAACACGCCCACTTATGACATCCCCCCCCACCGAACACGGAGCAACGCCGCGAGTGTGTGCGAGTCTGAGAGTGTGAGTCTGTCTGAGTGTGTGTGAGTCTGAAAGTGTGAGAGCGAGTGTATGTGTGAGTCTGAGTGTTAGAGTGAGTCTGTGTGAGTCTGAGAGTGAGTTTGTGTGTGAGTGTGAGTGTATGTGTGTGTGTGAGAGTAAGTGTATGTGTGTGAGTCTGAGAGTGTGAGAGTGGAGTGTATGTGTGTGTGTGAGTCTGAGAGTGTGTGTGTGTGTGAGTCTGAGAGAGTGAGTGGTGAGTCTGAAAGTGTGAGTGTAAACATAATCTCATTGAATATCGCCCGTACTGAGAGTGCAAATGTGAAGAAGTTGGAGCGAAAGTTTAAAGAGATTTATTTATTTAAATAAAAAAAGTTGTCAAAAATTGTAAATATTAAAAACATTTTTTACCAAAAACTACACATGTGTTAGTACCTGGGTAGTAAGTGTTATTTTCTATACGCTGACATCTCAAAAGTTACAAATTGGAGAAAATTCCCCTCAAACTTTATTTTTTTTGACACGGACAGTGATATTTACAAATGGAGCTATTTTGCTAGGAAAAACCTGTGCATTTGTGTAATTCTTTCCTTTATATAAAGTTCTGGTCACAAAAGCAACATGTATGGGGAATAATAGCCATCTTATATACTTAGGAGGCTTAAGCAATATGTATTTTTCCCCCGGGCAACGCTGGGTATATTGAGTTTATACCACAAAGTCGTCGCCTGACAGAGTTGCGTGTCGAGGCCTAGTACCGTGCAGAGCCTCCGGCCTCGCCTAGATTGCCCACCCGGCTGAGGGTGGGTACTGGGGCCGTTACGCCCCCCCCCCTCGCGCTACAATAATACTGTCTAATCGCTATAATTTTATTATCTACCGACCCTATAATAGTAATTGCACACATTGGGGTGGAAGGGGAGTGAAGAGGACGTGAAACTTTGATGAATTTACCTCAGAGTCGCGTGTTAATGCGTGCGCATATTTGTAACGGGAATTAAAAATGGCGTCCACCCCGCAGCGAAGTTGTTGCTACCCGTTGCCAGGGGCAACCGCCGTGGTCCGCGCCGGCCGGCAATATTAAATAAATAAATAACTAGCTATATAACTAAATAAAGAGCAATCGCACTAAATCGATAATCGGTCCGATTTAAAGTTTAGAGACGAAAAATCGGAAATGCCTAAGTTTACCGCGGGCCGGGGGCGTGCCCACCTGCAAAATTTAATCTCGGCGAACCCCACGGTCCGATAGCTAAATCCCCCGGAAGGGAGCGTACGCAGATGGACAAACAGACAGACAGACAGACAAAAAATGAATTATATAGGTTAGATATATATATCCTATATTAATTTTATTATCATATACACATCACTAAATATCAAGATCACTGTCCTCACTGTCAGATTCACATGAAACAATATCCTCAGTTAATCTCACATTGTCACAATGAACACATTTACATAGGTAAGTGCAGGCCAGGCCAGCCTTGTGGCATGAGCACCTTCCACCTGTACAAGTACCAGACTTACACCCACAGTGGAGTGACCCCAAAATCTGTTAAGAAGCTGGATCTTTAGTCATCAATGATATGATGAGATCACCATCCTTGACAATCCATCCGAAGCCGTCTGGACTGGGAGCATTTATAAAAGGATCCAATGCTCTCCTGTGGATTGCAGCTTGGTAGTTAGCATGCTTGAAGTGCTCTGTAAGTGCATCTTTTGTTGGAGGTAATGCCTGTTCGGAAGAGGCCTGGACACAGAACCTATTGTATCTGGCCAAATTAACATCTGATACCTTTTCTCCATACAGCTCACACAAAAAAAGTTCTATGGTCACAAATGCGGTGCTGTCCATTTCAAATTGCCTCCCAAGAGCAACAAATGCACTGATGTACTCTGCATTTCCAGACACTATATTTAGTGGTTTCTCTTTTCCTTTCCCATAAAAGGAACTAGTTGAGTCACAGCCAGTGAATGTGTGTAGTCCTATCAGTGCCTCTGTTAGTGAAGGACCCAAAGCAGAACCAATAGCCTGGAGATCTAACATTCTTTGCCTGTCTTTTGTTCCTGTCCGAAAGTACATCTTTGCTGAGGGAAGCTTAGCCATTATTGAAAGTGAAATGATAGCAACATCAGTGTCAGGACTCTGGATGATTATCTATATATATAAAATCGCGAATCTGTCTGTCTGTCTGTGTGTGTGTCTGTGTGTCGCCGGACCATACGCAGTTTCATTGGACGGCGGTTGCCCCTGGCAACGGGTAGCGACACATTCGGCGCGGGGTGGACGCCATTTTTAATTCCCGTTAAAAATAGGCGCACGCATTAACACGCGACTCTGAGGTAAATTCATCAAAGTTTCACGTCCTCTTCACTCCCCCCCCACCACAATGTGTGCAATTACTATTATAGGGTCGGTAGATTATAAAATTATAGCGATTAGACAGTATTATTGTAGCGCGGGGGGGGGGGGGGGGGGGACGGCACCCGTACCCAGCCTCAGCCGGGTGGGCAATTTAGGCGAGGCCGGAGGCTTTGCACGGTACTAGGCCTCGACACCCACCACGCGACTCTGAGGTAAATTCATCAAAGTTTCACGTCCTCTTCACTCCCCCACCACCCCAATGTGTGCAATTACTATTATAGGGTCGGTAGATAATACAATTATAGCGATTACACAGTATTATTGTAGCGCGGGGGATCGGCGCGCCTCACTAAAACCCTACAACGGATCGGCGCGCCTCACTAAAACCCTACAACGGATCGGCGCGCCTCACACAAATCCTACAACGGATCGGTACGCCTCACACAAATCCTCCAACGGATCGGCGTGCCTTACACAAACCCTACAACGGAAGCGTAACGCATTGTAGTGTCGTGGTTAGCGCGCCGCGCTACGAACCCGGCGACCCGAGTTCCATTCCCGCTCACGGCCACCATCGGTGACCATTATTTGAACCGGTCCTGGGCCTCCCCTAGGTCGACTCAGCCTCAAAACGAGTAACTGGTGTGGCGTATGAACATCGCCACTGGGGAGACAAAGGCGGCCGGGCGTGGTGGATCCAAGTCCCGGGCGAAGCCGGGTAGTACAGCTAGTATAATACATAGTTCTCTGAAATGCAGTAATTGTTTTCTCTTGCAGAAATAAACACCTCTGGATTTAATTTAAAATAATGCTGGGTATTGATAATCGATGCAACTGTTCATGCCCTGTAAGAAAGGAATAAAAGGCTGATATGTTTACAATTATGGAGTTTATTAAAGTTTCATAATAAAGATTTTTGGGTTTGATCGCATAAGTATAAATGTGTCGGGTGGTGGAAGGTTACGACACATTTATACTTAAGCGATCTAACCCAAAAATCTTTATTATGAATAATATTGGTCGCGAAAGCCTACGTGTTAAACTTAATAAGACATATTTGATCTTTTTTAATCAGCTTGATGTAGCACACTTAAGCATGGCGAAACATTATGTATGTTCAACATTTAAGATGTTTTTTTCCCCCCACAGTTGTAGGGAACATTTGTAGTGTGTCTATTCAGACACACGCCAAGACTTGGAGGCAACACGTTTATTCCTTGAACAACACAACTTCCACTGGATAACTACTTAGGGTGTTGACCACCACGGGCTAACACATAACCACTCAATAGCGAGACTATATACGGCGGTAACCACCATGGGTAATTTCGTAACCACTGACGGGATAACTATATTCAGTGGGAACCACCACGGCTATTCACAGCTACTTGACGGGACGTCTACCCGCTCAGATCCAGACAGCCACGTGCTGTCAGGTCCACGCTGAGGCTCCGGAGATCGTAGACAAACCCGCTGAATCCATTCCCAGAGACTAGCCCCGAGCATTTGCGTGACTCGCCTTTTATTCAGCGGAGCCTGGCCACGCCCTCTTTCCAGATCTTTCTGGTAGAGTCGGGGCACTGGTCACGTGGCCCGTCACGTGCCCCTTGGGCCCCGTTATCCCCTCATTCGGTCACGTGCCCTGCCCTGGTTCATCTGGAGTACCATGTCCTCACACAGCCTCTACTCACTGGCACCCGGACCATGCCCCCTCGGGATCCAACCCCTGGTGCTAGGGAGAGGTCCCACGCCTGCAGTACCTCCTTTCCGCTGGTACAACGCTATATACACACACTATGTACACCACTACACATTTAACACTCAGACAAAACCACATCCAGCAAAGTTTACATGTTTATTGGAATATTACAATGATTTCATTATTGACATTACGTGATCACATTACATTTTGCACTGGTTTTGGTGGCCATGACTGCAATATTTCGATTATGAAACGGTGGCAAAAGAACCTGCTTCTACCTCGGTTTCCTCTCTATGGCGACAATAAATCTGCTCCAGCAAAGCATTTTCACAACTCCACGGATCAGTGTGGTAAAGTAGGGTCAAACAACCCCCTCGACTTGGCACAGCACTGGGAGGACTTTATCTGATAGTGTGTGTATTGTAATTACTATTTTACCAAGTGACTTGATTGTAATTGTCATTGACTTTCATCCACTTGCATATTCATGTTATAAAACCACAACCATGGAGATTAAATGCATGCCTTCATAGCAACATTTTTACTGATGGCCTATCACATCACATAGCATATCACCATTTTTAGTTTTCTAAGGCAATACCAGTAAAATTCAAAATGTAGACCATATTTCCAAACTATTTGCCACAATTACTGTATTGTAATCACGTAAACAACTGTTGTATTCACTCAAGCTATGTAATAATGAATATAATTAATATATAATATATGTAACACCTATCTTCATGTGCAACTAACGTACGTGCAGTATGTGTACGTTTGCTCAGATAACTCCTCCTTGAGCACTCTACAAATGTCTACGAATGAGGAGTCATTTGAAAACCTATGATATTCAGATGATGTGAAGGTGGTCGAAGTTACAAATTAATGTGAACTCTGACCCAATAATGTGGCTTGTTGATCTAAGCCCAGCATGACCCGTTGTTTCAAATCATGAATGAATGTGTGTGCCCTCTCTCACCATAGCACACGGTAATTCAAAAACTGCCTTTCACACCATAACCTGTCAAAAACCACCCCCAATTTAGCATCCGTCACACTTGGCTCACAAGCCTACCTTTAAACATTGTACTAAATATCGTGTTATTGCGTTGTTGTCGCACAATAATGACAGTTTTATTGTGCAATTATAATTTACCAAATTCATCCCATTCAATTATTTGAATCTCCAGAGGGTAAATAAAATCCCTGAATATATTTATTACTGTTCAATGTCAACGGGATTACCTTTGTAACTGTATAGTGACACAAATACCAGTACTAGTAATAGTTAATCACAGGCACCTGCATATGACCCATTCTGTATGATTAATAATTAACAACACACAAATAAGAAACCTTTTTCGAGTTCCATTCAATATCAAAACATTGTTTACCACTCATCATACCTCGGATGAAATTGCATTAAAAAGTATTGACATCTAAAATATTTGGAAAATTGGGAATGCTGGGGCATACAATGAGCCACAGAAGAGTGACACGTGAGCTGGCCAACACATGAAAATCAGATTTACTCTTGAGGAACGTAAGTGAGCATAGGCCACTTATTTTCCTTCACAGGGTTGATGGCCAAGACCAGTGATGGAATGACTATTTAAGGCAGGAACACTCTCAAGAGGATGAACAACCAGGTGAGATGGAACAATGAGATCGGCGCATGCGCAGGATTGGGATAGGTTGTCGCATCGCAGGACTGTGTGAGGATGGCGACGGTGAAGCTTTCGTCCAGCAGTGGATTGAGAATGACTGATGATGAATTATAAAAATCCATTGCTAACAAATAAAAACAATGCATAATGGTAATGAGCATGTTTTCATGGTAGATATATATGTCGATAGCTCAAAACTGGTTAGAATTGCTTAAAATTACCTAAGAATAAATGTCGCCAACACATTCCCATTGCACATGCCGCATGTTATTATACAGCATTATTAAAAGGGTTTCGTAATATTCTGCATTTTTAAATTATTGGTCAATAGTAGACCGAGTGTAGGAATGTATCCAATTTAAAATTGCTTTCACAAAAGTACAGCATATGGATAATAAACTTAGTGGGTTTTATATGCGGAGTTGTTTTTCATGCTTGAGTTCCAAAGTGCTTCTGAAATTATAATAAAAAAAGTGTTCGAATTAAATTTTGACTTAAAACTTTCGTGACTACAGGAATGCATATTCTATGGTTCTTTCGGTAAAGTCACGTAGATAGAAAAATATAAAATAATAAAAATGAAAATAAAGTGAATAAAGATGTATAATTATTCACTTATTTTTTATTATTTTATTGTTGTAATTTTTTCTATCTACGTGACTTTACCGAAAGAACCATAGAATATGTTCGAATTAAAACATGAGGAAAATTACATTTACTTTTAGCATGTGTTACAACCTCACGAGTGATATATTAGTCAAAATTATAACATTGATTTTAGATCATTAGTGCACAGATTCGCAAAACTGTTTCCTCATTAATTCCGATGTGTAAAGTTTAATTGTTAAATAATTGGTCATTTAAATATTACTGAGAAAGGGTGTAATGAAATGACTTTGCTATATCGTGTGCTTTAAGATAAAATATTGAATAAACTATTTAGCAAAAACATTTAATCAGGTAAGGCCCACTGAGCTATATAGCTCTTTTTCAGAAGTGACCTGGCCAAAAATGATTGCTCAACGAAGTGGCTTATCATGTGGAAATTTATAGCAGGCAAATACCTAAATGTTTATTTCTAAATGTGGAGGAAAAAAACGGGAAGACCTGGAGAAATATCTACGTGACCACAGGGAGAACATGCAAACTCCAAATTTACTGGGGTCAGGGTCGGAATCGAACCCACAACTTTCTGCATACCAAGTGAGGTAATAAAAATCTCACTGCCGTGGCCACCTAACCTCGATATGAATAATCAAATGATTTTCAATCGACCAGCCACGGCGTGTGAAAGCGCTATCAACCCAAATTGCAACACAGTGTGGATAATATTTCAGCCAGTAGTTGATAAATTAAAGGGCTAAAAATGACTACTATTATTATTATAAAACCATATTATGGAGAATAAATTTTCCATTGTAAATAGCAGGTCCACACCAGATCAATCAGTTGCACAACTTTGTTGAATGCAACTGAATCTCTTCATATGCGGATGTCTCTGCAATCAAAGACGTCCACATGCTGGCAACAAATGTGTTAAACACCTGCACACAAATACAATAATTGTATATATGTATATGCATTGTCAGCAAATGTATATTACCGAGGTTCGTGATGGAGATCAATTACGCTGCCTTGCTGGTGGACGACGCTGGAAGGTTATCTGTTATCATCCGGAAAAAAAACAATTACACAACTGAGGAAACGTGGATGAAATTATATCCAATGTGCAATAAAACACGCAATCATTTGCAACGTATCATTGATTCATATGCGTTCACCTTGGACTATCTGGACCAGTACCTACGACGCAAGTCACCATTCAATGTATGTTACACGTTGTACTTTTAACAACAATAACACTTGTCAAAATATACGTTTGGCTTATTTTGGCACATAAAACTCCAATAGGTCAGTCTGGTAATATATATCGCCTTTCTATGGGCTTAGCCTTGAGCCTGAAACTAAACTAGTTTTATTTTACCAGGTAAGGCCCACTGAGCTATATAGCTCTTTTTCGGAAGTGACTTGGCCATAACATGATAGCTCAACGAAGTGGCTTATTACGTGCAAATTTATAGCAGCCAAATACTCTAAATGCATGTTTCTAAATGTGGGGGGGGGGGGGGAAACGGAGGACCCGGAGAACATGTTTCTAAATGTGGGGGGGGGGGGGGGGGGGGGTGAAACAGAGGACCCGGAGAAAAATCCATCCGACCACGGGGAGAACTTACAAACTCCAAATATGCAACAGGTGTCAGGGTTGGGATCGAAACCACGACCCCTTGTATACCTGGTGAGGTAGTTAACATATCGCCACCGTGGTGCCCTGCATTGTCCAAAAGTGATTAAATGTTTAAAAACTAAAAACACCACCCTTCACCATGGCTGACATGGCATGGCAAGGTCTTCATCCATTGACTTTAAAAAAAATATGAACGAACATTTCACTCCATGTGCTTAGAAACTGAACATCTTTATCGATGCCAAAACACCCACATCAGTATATTGCATAGTTTTCAAAGTAAATTAATATTTAGGAATGGTACATGATGTAATTGAAGCTCAGAATATGACCAATGAAAGGTGAGGTTAATTTTACAATAAAAATTGTTTTTATTTCACGTACATGTTGATCTCCTATTTTTGCATAGCAATATATATCACTATATATATATCACTCGTCCCAATTTTTTTTTTATATTGTCTCAGGAATTCAAATGCTCTCTTTTTACCCAAAGTGATGATGTATTTTGTATTTATTCCCATATACATGTAAGATTTGTTTTTATCAGAACTTTTGTAAAATCAGAAACACTGAAAATGTAATGACTATATTATTTCATACCACGTATCTTAAACAATAATCTCTGTTACTCTTTTAAAAATGATATAAACAATTGAGATACTTACGAGGTATATATTGGTATAATCCTTCGTCACGAATTCGTGAACTGCAACATGATCACATGACAGTCAGTTAGCATAATGCGTGCTCTCATTCCTTATATATGTAGTGGCATCGGTGGAGGCCACTGCATGAGGCCTAAGCCGGCCTGTGTGAGGCACGATGCGCACCGCTCACACCAGCCGCATGCCGTGCCAGCCTCTGGCTGTTAGGGGGCGAGAGCGCCAGGGACGGCGCAGGAGTTCACCGGTGGCCATGGCACTCCAGGTGAACCTGGAGGCCTGGTGATCAAAGGTACCGGCCAAGGGGCCCCAAGGAGGGGGCTGGGGGGACCACGGGACCAGGACCAGGTCCTTCTTCAGCACCGTAGCCGTGGGGTTACATTAACAGATTGACATGCTAATCTCTAGCAACACAATAGCCGAGGTATACCTAGTTCTGCGATCTTACATTTAATTGCAAATTCCATCTCTAGCCCCGCCCACTTACCCTTGGGTTTTACCCATCTCAAACCTATATAACCTTTGGCTGCAGTAGGTCTCTCGCTATATTTGTTCCTGTGTCAGTAGTCCGCCTGCTGTATTTTTTCATCTGAAGACGATTGCTTGTTTTGCGATTGAAACGTGAGTTTATTTTATTTTATTATTTTTCTATCTACGTGACTTTACCGAAAGACCCAAAGAGTATCACTCGTAATGTTACGTAAACAAACTTATGAAACATGCTTCAAAACGCATTTATTTTCTCTTTTGGTTGCCTCAATTAGCTCCTATGTTTCTTCGTGTGTCCTTCCCTTGGTCAAGGAAGCATTTATTTATTTTATGTACAGCACTTTGCCTCGTGGAAAGGCACTTTGCAAATGTTATGCATTATAATGATTCAGTATAGTAGCACATCAAAGTGTTGCTTATTCAAATGAGCAACAGGGCAGCTCCGGCCACGTCATTTAGAGCGTGGATTTTGTCACCAAACATTTGCAGGAACAACAGAAACACATTTTACATTTGATTAAGTGATAATGTTCATCGCTAAGTCAATCCATTGCTGGATGGCCCTCAAACACCAAGTAGAGAAGCCGGTTGTTTGGTCATAATTTACTAAGATGGTCAATGTCGATTTTATAGTATGCTTTTACAAACAACGTTATGATTTATAATTAGTTTATTTTGGGTTAGATTGTATAGGTGTAATGTCAATTTTGTTTTGGTTGGTGAGCCCAAAACTGGTTCGTACACTCATACCACTAATGTTAGCAGTCATGTGCCAACATAAGATGCACAAACCATTGTCCCCTTGGATTTCTTCTTTATCAATCAAATTGCCAATACGTTTTAAAAGCAATGTTTTCCGTGAGCATTTGAACATGCAAAAATGTAGCTACTTTTCAACATATTTATCGAGATTATTGCAAAATTATATTATTTTAATACCCTGTCGCTACGCTAATTCAACATTTCTAATGTAAACTAGTTTTTAAATCATGCTTCAAATATAATTGAACTTTATTCCTGATTTTGTACTGTTTTTTTTTTCTTTTAACCTGTAATTGTGAACTCTTTTTAAAAAGTGACTATACATCTCATTGGACCAGTGCCTGTTTATACATTAAAGACGTGTGTGTGTGTTGGCACACAGTAGTGGTGGCATAGCATTTAGCACGTGGCACTATAAACCCAGCAACCTAAGATTGATTCCTGACCATGGCTAATATTATTGACAAGTGACATCTGGAAAGGTCGCGGGTATCCCCTTCATCAAGCAACAGCGTCCATCGCAGTGAAGCATAATTAAACAACCCGAATAACTGACAAGATAATTCCCTCCCATCATCTATTGTCCCTAGTTCTAACAAAGCTTGATTCAAGAAATGTAATAACTCTTACCTACAACACCTTAAATAGTGCCGTTTGTTGCTGCCCAATCAGTGGTTTGTGGGCCTTTGTTCAGCAAGCACAATCCAACCATGACTAAACTTTTTTTTAAATGACATTGACTCCAGGAATTATTACGTACCTCTTATGATTCCCAAATATATTGTAGCTTCTTCCTGTTTTGTATCTCCAGCATATGTAGGTACCTATTCCAAGCAAAGTCAAAGTTCCAAGACTTGCGAATAATATTGCGAAGAAGGCCGATGTTTTGATAGTGATGTTTTCACACGTGGGTCCATCAGAATGGTACAGTCCTTCTTGTTGGCAGCTAGAATAAAAACGTGTCCACTGATTACTACCATAGTTCCACATTTCTAAGATCCTCATTATATTCGAATACAGTACATTTCAAACTACAAATTCTGATTAATTTGCCACACAAACTAATTAAAATGTAATCAGGGAATTTTACATTGTTGAAAATACATGGTATTACTGTTGTATTCCAAACCTTGATAGTTTCAAAACACCGTGCTTTATTGTTTCAGGGTATCTTGTGAAGTTGTTGGATTGATTACTTTGTACAGTTAATGAAAACTAGGTCATTTATATCTGGTACACATTGAACCTGAGCATTAAACAATGACAGATAGACACACAACCAATGCCTCAGTATAATTAAAGCCACATGAACTATATGAGCCAAAGATGTAATCTGCTTACTCATGAAAAAAATCCGACATCAATATCCATAAACAAAGGAGTAAAATCAAAATATAAAAAAAAAATGTCACTGAAATTAAGACCTTAAAGTTTTGGCTAACCAGCTATCACTGTTCTCCAATGTATTTTTTTAAATGTCTTGAAAGTGTTTTGCAAGATTACGTTCATATGGTGTTGATAAACCATTTAAATAAACAGGTGGATAATGTGGAAATATTCAACAAGACTTGGCATTTATTAGTCCTGGTATACATGTATTAGTTGGTGTCCGGTGAGACTGTGGTGCATCTGGATTAGATGGCAGGGTATGGGTTCTGCGGGGTTTTTTCCCCGTGCTTATAATAAAAAGACATGAGGCTGTTATGCATTGGAAACACATAGCAAGGCTTCAATAATTATCCTGAGCCTGACTCGCTATATGAGGATTAACAATAAAATACGTGAAAATAAATTCGGGGGAAAAAAACTCAAATTTTACGTAAGTGTAAGTGATGTGAACTTACATGCACACAGGCCCAGTGTTCGAGGGCAAACATGTTCCTCCATTGTTACACAAATTTGAGTTCACACAGGGAGACCTGCATACGATGTTGTATGTGCCATTCCACACAGCTTTGTATCCAGGCATATTTGTACTGCATACTGTGTAGTTAAGGAGGTCATCCTTGGAAACTGAATAAAAATGAAAATTGAGCATTAAAGTTTAAATATATAGTGCATATTATATTGTAACTTTGTATAATTGATTAATGTATGTGAATATTACATATGTTAATCCTTTTATATTAATAGTACTGCGAAATGTTAACAAAGACTGTTAAACGCATTTTCAGTTTCAAAGAAACGTATACTTTAAAAAAAAACATCTCACGCTATAGATCAACATTCAAATATTTCGGTTACTTTAGGCTTGCAAAGCCGAGATTTATTACAGCCATGTGCATGCATACGTGGATTTGGAGAATTATGAAATTGTACGCAAGGTGAACATCTTTCGCACCGTGCATAGCCGACCGTGCTCATCGGAGGTGAGTTAAGTAGGACGGAAAGAAAAACAAGGAACAAAGAAGTGCTTCGTCAGGTGGGGGAAGAATGTGAACTCATTCAATCGATTCGGGAAAGCAAGAGGACAACCCAGATTGGGCAGGTGATGGTCAGAACAGCCTGATGGCAGAAGGTCATTAGGGGGTGCAATAGTGAGATAGAATGAGCCGAAGGAGGAGATGCCTGTTCAAATTCCTCACCCTGGTCGACAAATCCCTTCGTGACCTCGCCCCACCGCATCTTTCCATGCTTGTATCTTTCCTCGTGCCTTCTCGCCCTCTACGTTCTCATTATGTGCTGTCTCTCTCTATGTTCCTCCTTCTCCCTGTGCTCAATTACGCTTTCGCTTTCTCTCTTCTTGCCCCCCCCCCCTTCACTGGAACAACTTCCCCTCCACATTAAGCAATCACCTTCGCTCACTAGTTTCCGTTTCGCACTCAAAACTCACTTATTTTCCATTGGTCACCACACGACCCCTTAATCTCCCACTCATAAACGCCACCGTTACTTTTTCCTTTTCTTATTCTCATTATATGGCTTTCACTCAATCCCCATTCATTCAATCCATTCATCATAATTTACTGTTATTCATAATCAACGTTTTTGGGTTTAGATCGCGTTATTTATAAATGTGTTGTAACCCTCCACCACCCGACACGGCCAATCAGTAAAAAAGAGTCACGTTGACAAAAGACAAATAGTTCACTGCTTTAGCCCACCGGTGTGTTGAAGCCACAACATTTACAATTTGAGTACGACGTTTCACCATTCTGGCGAATTGCCCAATTCACCATTCTGGCGAATTGCCCGATGATGCTGGATGCAATTACCAGCGAAACGTCGTACTCAAATTGTAAATGTTGTGGCTTCAACACACCGGTGGGCTAAAGCAGTGAACTATTTGTCTTTTGTCAACGTGACACTTTTTTACTGATTGGCCGTGTCGGGTGGTGGAGGGTTATGACACATTTATAAATAACGCGACATAAAACCCAAAAACGTTGATTATGAATAACATTGGTCACGAAAGCCTACGTGTTAAATAATTTACTGTTATCAATTTCGCTTTCACCGAATTCACACGTCACCGATTTGCCCCCATTGCTTCCTCTCACCTATTGCATTGACCTCGTCACAATTGCATTAACATGTACCATTGTTAATTCGTTGTAAATTCGCCTAGGTTAAGGCGCTATGTGAATTCCTTTAAGATGAGGGAAATATTATTTAGGACAAGACCAAAAGAAGGGAGAAAACAAATGGCCAAGACAGACTATGTTCAGCAAAGACGAATGGACAGATGCAGAGGGCAGCAGAAGACGGACACGTGAAGGAGAGAAGTGTGCCTTGGACCTGTCTATGGACAAAGCACTTCATGATATGTACACATACGTGGATTAGACATTGTTGAATTTAGCAGTGTCAGGTTTTGTAGTGCAGCACGCGTGGCATAGTTGATGTTATTAATCGTTGAATTTAGAGTCCCATCGTATATGGAAATCACATCCTGGTTTGTTGTGTAGTTAAAACGAGCAGTGCAGTTCAGGATAAATGGTTGTGCGGTACTGAAAGGAACACAAATAACATGTTAAAGAGATCATTTTTACTCATAAACACTTCACATAAACGAGTATTATTCCTACAGCAAATTTACAAATCCGTATGACACTTTTAGACTTATCCACCTGACAGACACAACAATCCCTTTTAAATGTCCTCACATTGCTTTTTCAAATACGTTTAGATTGCTTTCTGTATACATTTCTAAAGTATTTATTTTAATTGGCATGTGAACCTATTTTTTTCTCACACAGAATAACTCCTCTGATTCGTCGGCCTATTATCAGCGACTCCTGCAGACCCTATGCTTCCTATTATCCATGATAATCTGTGACATTTTCAATATATCTTTGTGGAACAGCATCCTTTTATCCACGCCTTGTGGATAGCGGTCGCCCAATAAATTACTCATGTTATCCGTCGGTTATCTGCGGGCGGCACTCGCTTTGATCACGAGACAACACAGACACGATTAGCCTCGCAAAAACAAGAGAGACACACACAGCCAGAGACACTGAAAGCGAAACACAGAGACGCAAATATAGACAGATAAGGAGAGACACGGAGGGACACAGACAGACACAGAGGCAGACGAGAAAACAGACAGAGCAACACAGACACACAGAGACAAGGAGAGACACATAAGACAAAGATACCCCACACACATAAGTGTGGAGATACATATACAGAGACAGTGAGACATGGGGACATTTGCAGACACAGAGACATAGAGACACAGACATGGAGACAGACCAAGAAATACGCAGACACAAAGACGAGGATAAACACAGCCCACAGAGAGATACACACAGAGACACATGGAGACACCCGGTGACGGAAACAAACGCGGAGACGCATAAAACAGATCGGGAGACACACACAGATACACAGATGCACGAAGACGCACACACAAAGAGAAATGGATACATGCCGAACAAAGAAAAAGAGACAAAGACAGACGAACAGAGAGAGCGAAAGAGAGGTTTGGGTAGGGCACATCGCTAACCTTTGACACCTACAGCACACGAGTTGAGAGACTCGTGAAGTGTAACACGCCTTCGTGGGTCTCTGTCTCTGTACGCATCTAAGTGTGTGTCTCTGTATCCCAGTCCGTGTTGCTCACGTGGAGACAGACATGCATCAAAGGCCCTACGCTGCGTGTTACTGACTCCTGTTACAATTCTTTTCGCGAATAAGATTCATCGCATGGTTAATGATACCTATTATCCGCAGGTTATCTGTGATTTTTTACCCCATAGTAAAATCGCGAATAACCCTGCAGATAATAGAATCTGCGATAACGGTGCTCCATATCACTACGGATAAAGGGAGTTCTGTGTTATTACTATTATTCCAATTTGTACTATGTAATTATTCTTCCATTATAAAGCACTATCAAATGACGAAGATTGTGTGTTGGATATGTTTTCCCTCGTACACATTGCAGTCACGTGATTTTGTCCGACTGAGCTGAGTGATGCTCTGTACTGTCTGTGCTCATGTCTATTGGTGGGCCACTTAGTCGGCGGTGGTTGGCTAACCAACCTCATAGCGTTCACTTTGAAGTCGTAGTAGATTTTAGATACCATCAACTTTGCTATAACCTGTTTGAAACAAAACAACATCAAGTTAACAATCAATGTAACAACAATAGGGGGTTATCGATGCACAGATACCCCCACTGATTGGGAAAATTACAGATAATTTTGCCTTTATTTCAAAGTCTCCTCTACACGTCTCCCATCAATCTCAAATGGTGTACCTATTCAATAATTTAACACTCTCCTGGTATGCTTTGTCCAACATAGCCGGTCTGATTTGCTTACGGCATTCAGTGATGCCCCACGCGTGAGCTCAGGTGTTCGATATTTCGCTGCTTCGTTGGCCTACACACACCGGTCTTTGACGGGATCCCCACGGGCGTTAAACCCAAGCGGGGGGGCTACGGTCAGGTGAACGCGGGGCCAATGCATCCGTTCCATGACCGTCAATCCAACTCACGAACATCTCCTGTAGCCAATTGCGTACCGCATGACGCCAATGGTAATGAAGCAATCAGTGGGGTATCTATAAATGGATGGCCCTGTATATTTGCATTTATTCTAACGTCAGAATATGCAGTGTCACAGGTGTTACGGATATATGTTAATCTTTCACGGTTGGTAATCTCTGTGGGGAAATGCCAAGTTATATTATCTTCTGTAAATAAGCATGATTTCAATTGAGGCAACTAGTTATCCAAGGCCAGGATGATGATACTGTGTTAGAGCAGTAAGCTGATACTGCTGAAGCCCTGGGTTTGAATCCATGTAGCAACCCAAAATTAAACTCGTTCAAATGTAATGAGTTTATCACCTCAGTCGCGTCACCAATAATGACTGCACGAAAATTATACCGTTACATTAATTTCCTCACTGAAAATGTGTCCCTATTCAGCTCTTGAAAACCCAAAACAGACTTGTTGGACATGTGAGGAACTCTTTACTTGGCATATAAACTACAACACGACTCCCGGTGTAGTTTCGTGAAATAATATTCCAGGGCCTTTCTTTGACACAATGTAGTGTACTGATATCCACAAGCATTCCAAATGGAAATGTAAACGTCTTAACATATGAAATACAATTGTGAGAATAAAAAATTGGGTCTAAGGTTTACCACGTCACATTATGCTAAATAATCCACAAAGACAGAGATCCCCGTGTATAGCCTTATAAGATTGTTGGGGCCAGTTCTGCTAGCGAGTACCTATGAAGGCCGGCACAGCACACGATGGGGTGGGTGGCCAGCATCATGCCCGGCTGCCTTTCTCTCCCCATTGGAGATGTTTACACATCCCACCAGATACTCGTTTGGGGCTAAGGGGCTGTCCATAAATGACGTCACGCGATTTTGGACGATTTTTTACCCCCCCCCCCCCCTCGTCACACGGCGTCACAAAAAGTCAGACCCCCCTCAAATATGACGTCACAAAGCTCCCCCCCCCCTAAAACCATATTTCCATTTTGAAACTAAAACATGCTTCAAATCGCTTTAAACTATTGTCATTGTAGTGTGTATTTAATGTGGTGCTGCACTCTGTTGTACGAGAAAACATTTATTAAAAAGTCTATTTAATTAAGTGGAACGTGTTTATATTTATTTAAAGTTGCGCATTTTTACGTGACCTTACATTTCTCAAACTTCCCCCCCTCGTCATACATCGTCACAAATGTCTGACCCCCCCCCCCCCCCAGGTGCGTGACGTCATTTATTGACGGCCCCTAAGTCAACATAGGGAAGGCCCAAGACTGGTTCAGATAATTGTCACTGGTGTTGGCCGTGAGTGGGAATCGAACTCGGGTCACTGGATTCATAGAGCAGCATCAGAATCTGAATCTTTATTTATCCTGGTGGAATACAATGAGCCATAAAGCTCTTTTCCACAGATGCCCAGCTTGATTCCCGCTACACCACATTTCCTAAATAAGCCACAGAACAGCATTCATCATACAGTTTTTAATGCCAGAAACACATTCCTGCGGAGGGAGCTGGTAGGAACGTTTGGTTGCTCGGTCAATGGCCAGGGTCAACGGCGGCGTGGTGTATCCCGCAAATATGCCCGACTGTGAGGGCGGGCACAAGCCGGCGTGAGTAGGTTAAACGTTGAGTTTCATAAGGGCACCACGGGGTGACCAGCCCCTCCCCACCCAGCCCCACCCCTCCCACCCCCCACCCAGCCCCACCCCTCCCACCCCCACCCAGTCCCACCCTCCCCACCCAGCTCCTACCCACCCACCCAGTCCCTCCCCACCCTCCCCCTCCCTCCCCACCCAGCCCCTCCCTGCACGACGGACGGACACAGTAATCCCCTGTGGGCTGGCGTAACCAGGAGGTTCCTACCAGTATAATTTAAATATGCATTATATACTATAAAAATGTATATATACATAAAAACGTACCGCTGATGAAGTGTTGTAGCTTATAATTGTTTTATTAGTCTCAGTGCCAAATGATGCAAATATGAACAGCGAGTATGCCACGTGCAAGTCTGTTGAATACAATGTGCAAAGCGAAAGACATTTGTCATTTTCGGATAAGAGAAGTAACACATTTTACTATTTAAAGATCTTAATGGCCTGCGTAATACACGAAGGAACTTTTTTAATACGTATACTTTTGGTGCTAAACAACGGGGTAACGATGCTGTGATTTAAACGTTTGCTCTCATAACATGCAAACAGATAAAACGTGAACTATACTTATTTTATGAAAACAAATGTTTAATAATTTGTTTCGTGGTAATAGTTTAATACATGTTATTACCTGTGTCGATGTATGAACTGACAATGTCAAGACCATACTGGCATTTGTCACCCGTGTGGCCAGGCAAGCAAGCACATGTGGCAGTGCAATTCAAATTATTGAAGCAAGTTCCTCCATTACTGCAGTACTCAGTAGTACATGTGGTCTGCGCACAACTTGTCACCACACACTGCTTGCCATTATCTGTTTAATAGAACAACATATACATTCTCTCTCGTTATATTGTTTGAATGTTCACTGGTTTGAAAGCCACATTTTTGACTGCCAAAATCATACTTTTACATCAGAACGAAACCTGTCGCTGCAATACATTTCTGCACTATGTTCTACATTGGTGAATCGATGATGGAATATTAACACATTTTATATGTATCTATTTTCCACAGCCAAAATAACAGAAAGATGTTATATATATATATAACCACACAACCCTTTGGTACAGCTGGCAATGCAGAATCAAGGAGAGGAATTTGGATAAAATTAGGTTAAAAACATTGTTAATTAAAACTTAAAGGCTTCGCCTGCCCTCACGTGCCCGCTATAAATGGAATAGCCTGGCAAGTGCTAGTAAGAGCTCACGTCTAGGTCTCCCGAAATTGCTATGGTAATCCTCCTGGCATACCCACGTGTTTCATCTAATCGTCCAATAAGCAAAATGCATCCGTGGTACAGTAAGTGCTGTGGTTTAGGGAGACCAAGCAAGTTATTCAAACGCAACAAAACTGGCATTGGTGCCAAAAATAATGATACTTCAATCTCCATTTAAAGTGACAGAGATATCGTTTAACTTTTTTCCAAATTATATTCTAACTGTGCTCTCAGTGTTATGTCATGAGACCTATTTGGAACACTGAAGCTAGCAGTCCATCTTACTGTGTCAGAGAACGACCTCCATGTTAAGTTGTAGGGCTTTGGTTTGTTGGGAGCATGGGTGACTGCAGTTATGTTTACAGAACACAATTGGATCTGTAATTCTTCAAATAAATTTTGTCATACAGCAATTGTACCACCAGTAACATATTGGTTACCTGGCTGTAATATATCTGTTTACCCCTTCAATTGCAAGACCACCTAATGTATTTAGGGCTGTTAGATTACGCTTTTAACTTTACCTAACAGGTGTGGCCAGCGGAGGTGAATGCCACCTGATGATGCGTTGTATGGGAAAACAATTTAACTCTCAACTTTACCATTATTTTAATGGCCACTACTCTATAACCTTAATTATGGAGTTCTTATAACTCAGATTATACATATTTAAATACAATTATACAGTAATAGCTCCCTTTCCAGCAAATATTTACGTAATTTTTCGAGCGAAATGGATAGCTTTCTACTCGTTTTCATTTCTATGTTAAACATATACTGTTGTCAATCCTGTGCACATATATAAAAAGTCAATATAACTAAAGCAAAATGATTAACACAAATGTATTAGAGTTTCTATTATATATTCGTTAGTCTCTTTTAGGCGCGCACATATTTTAATTACAATGATGTAGACTTGTTGTACAGGGTGCTTAAAAAAAATGTTAACACTTGAGAATTTGCAACAATACCACGAGAAAAGTGCCTCCGGGCTCTGGAGACCACCTGGAGAAGATTCCAGGCACGTGTTGACAATGATGGCGAACAAGTGGAGACTCTTTGACTTTTTGAAGCTATTAACATACATTTGTTATCATGTTACAGCGTATTATTCGTTCTTTCCCATTACAAACGATAGTCCCATATAAGTGATCATATTTTTTAAGCACCCTGTATATTAATAAATGTGTACACTATCATGTTTACTTCGTGTGAGTGTCCGTGGAATGGACATGAATGAACTTACTGTAGTAGTTGCTTGGGCAAAGACATGTGTATGAGCCAGGAATGTTTGTGCATTTGGCGAGTGGAGGGCACTTGGTCGTATCGCACTCATTGATGTCAACACAAGTTGATCCAGTTTGCTGGTATCCCTGATTGCACTGGCAATTGTATGATCCAACGGTATTGATGCAGGTCTGCTGCCCAGTACAATTATGCTTGCCCACGGAGCATTCATCCTCGTCCTCACAAATATTTCCATTGCCTGTAAGGTTAAGCAGGTAAATTACACTCTGCGCATATGTACACTTTAAAGAAAAAAAATCATCTGGGCCAGCGACATGGCCCAACGGTAGCGGGTTTGCTGCTGATTGCGGAGGTTCACGGTTTATTTCCCGCACGCCACCCTGGTTAATACTGCAGGTGCAGTAACAGTACACTACACACTGTCCGCTTCACAGTGGACAATAATATATCTTGTAATGTAATTTTAAAGGAATAATCCCTGGTGTATTGGCATCGTGGTCCAAATAAAAAAAAAATATCTGCAAAGGTATTCAATTGTAATTATGAATAGCAAAATAGCCGCTTACTGTGAAACTACTGCAGCCTGTTTCTGTGAAACACAACGCCTACGTGATTCATTTGTGTTATAAGAATGTCGCATCTACTTAATGTGCTAAATTATTGTTGTCTCGTAAAATACTGAAAAAAGGCTGAGGCTGGGTATGATAGACAACATCTTTCTTATAGGTACTAGCTCCTAAATGGGAAGAACCATAATAGCGGGTATGTATGGAATGCCATGAGATCTTTGCAATTTACTTTTATAACCAGGGTAGCAGCAGAGGTAGAAGCCCACAGTGTTCTCACACACAGAGTTTCCAGTGCAGTTGTTTGTGGTTTTGCACTCATCTATGTCCACACATTCTGTTCCGTTCACTAAAACAAAAAGACATACACACACAAATAAATAAACAAACATTGGTCCACAAGTGCCATTTTGAATATATTTAGGGAACAATGGACCAGCAATGTGCCGCACAACTCTCTAATGCTATTCGACATCAATGCAAAAGCTAAAGTGGCCATTATTCTTACAATCTATATACAGAATTATAAAGTGCTGAACATAATTGTAATCATGAGAAAAGAAAGAGAATATACCGTAAAATTACACTATCCCGTAGAGTGTATTTCATTTTAAACGTATGAGAGATACGATTCATTAAACCTCAAAAGCATTCTGGTCGTTTGTGAAGCTTTGATTCAACTGGCTACATTGTTACTCATCCAGTACGCACATTAATATCCTCCATAATATAGTTTATTTTTGGGTTAGATCGCGGAAATATAAATGTCGTTAAACCCGCCACTACCCGACACAGTCAATTAGTAAGGTTTGTCACGTAAACAGAATATGCCAATTCCTTACTCGTACAGCACACCGGTGTGTTGGAGAGCAAATCCACAACATGGCATGCTCTATTTACGTGAAAACCGTACTAATTGGCTGTGTCGGGTGGTGGTGGGTTTTACGACACATGCATATTTACACGATCCAACCCAAAAAAAAATCCTATATTATGGATATTGGTCGCGAAAGCATACGTGTTAAACATTGATATCCACTGCTAAAAGTAGAGTCGTAAGAGACTTTCCTGAAAATGTACCTGCAGCTGTTGTTTCCAACCTGACACTCCCGGCGCACAGAGCAAAACGTCGGGACACGAACGCCGAACAAAACACGCGGTGCAACCACAAAAATGCGCACGCGTTGGAGGATAGGCACACAACCCCCACTCACTTTGGAATCCAATATCGCATGTGCATTTGAAGGACCCTTGGGTGTTCTGACACGACGAATTAGTCTTGCAGTTGGCGTTTCCATTCTGACACTCGTTGATATCCTGACAGGTGCGACCGTTGCTGCCGATTATGTACCCAGCCACGCAGCCACACACAAAGCTGCCCATTGTGTCACTGCACGTCCCATATGTGGTGTCGCAAGGTGAGGATGAGATGCACTCGTTCTTGTTGATGCACTCCGTTCTGCTCGTGCCGTTCAGGATGTAACTGAAACGTCAATCGATGTACTATGATGAAATCTCTGCACCAACTGATAGGAGTACCACAATCGCAATACAGTGTATTTGCACCCATGATTTGAGTGTCCAGGTAACAAGAGTGTTTAATTTAGTTTTTTTTACATTACATCTCCTTTGCGAAGGACCTCTCACCTTTAAAAAAAAAAATCTGACTACCTTCATGCTAAGCTTTAAGAAAATACCATCGTGAATAGTAGATGCATGACAACAGGAACGTAAAAATGCAAAATACATGTTCCACAGCTTATCTATTTTTTCCCAACTGGAGTAGACTGTTCAGATGTTATTCAACGTTTCATGAGCGTGTGAATTATAACTAAACATAACAAAAGACCTGATCAGATAATATGAAGATGTGATATTGATTTATCAAGGTCAAAATACAAACAAAATTTTATATACACATCCTCAACATTCTGAATATATATAAACAAAAAGGTAAAATGTTTATATCATTCCTGTACCAATAATTGGCAGCTGTACAAGCAGAAGTGACAACTCAGCTATAATGCTGTGTAGAGATTAACCTGCTCCATCCAATAACATATTAATAATCTAATGCATTTCTATGCATTGGATTAGAGCACCGTGCACAGATGCAGAAACGTAGAAGCACAGTGCAACAATAGAGAGGGCGGCATTCCTTCTGCTGCCTGCAACAGTCATCCCTCCAAGTACAATCCAGGCTTATTCCAGACTTTGCTTCTGAGCATTGGTGCAATCCAGGTAATTTGTCATATGCAGTACTTTCCCCTGATATTTGTAAATACACTAAACTAATTAAACTAAACTTTTTATTTTACCAGGTAAGACCCACTGAGCAATATAGCTGCTTTTCAGAAGCGACCTGGTCACAAATGATAGCTCATTGAAGTGACTTATCACGTGGATATTTATAGCAGCAAAATACTATAAACACGTGATGTTGATTCTAAATGTGGAAGGAAAAACTGGAGGACCCGCAGAAAAATCCACGCGACCACAGGAAGAACACGCAAACTCCAAATATACAGCAGGCGTCAGGATCGAACCCACAACCTCTATGTATAGCAGGCGAGGGAGTTAACATCTCGCCACCGCGGTGCCAAATTGGAAAACCCTTGGCTACCATACAATGAAGAAACCTACCCGTTGTTGCATTGACAGGCTGATGCATTTAAGCTGTCGACGATGTAACAGGCCCCATTTTCACTGCAGATGTTCACCTGACATGCAGTGTCCGCTGGAAGGAAAAAATTACACATGTTTAATAGAAAATGAATTATTACAATAAAGTTTGTATTCAGACAAAGTTGTTATGTTCATAGATGATATGTTCAGACAGAGAATATGTGGCATAAATTTTAGTTTTTCTTACACCTTATTAGGAAATCAAAACAATGTGTACTTACGATTACACACGCCATTCACACTGTGAAATCCACTGTAACAGCTACACTGAAACCCTCCTGGGGTGTTGGTACAGTTTTGGCTGCAGTTGGACATCAACTTCGTACATTCGTCAACATCTGTGAAAATACACATTCAAATAGACATTGTAAAGAATGTATTTACTTCTTCCCTGAGCTGGGATCCTCTTCTGCATTTTCAAAAGTCAGACATATATACAAATTTTAATGTAGAGTATTCATGGAAACACTCTTATTATTCCATTGGTACCTCATTTTCCAGTAAAAAATATGATAATTGTTTTTTTTACCCTTTTATCTGGCAACAAAACTGACACCTTTTTTTACAAGGAGTCATGTTTGCATAGACCACAATACCTACAGTCATAATGCAAACAAAAAACATAACTCTGATAATGTATGCACTGTCCTTGAAATTGATTGGTCCACACCCGAGACAGCTTTCCTTAGAGCCTAGTCTCACATGGGTTGGACCAGATGACGCCAAAAGGCGCACAACTCAAAGACAATGCACCATCAGAGTATGAGAGCTCGGGGTAAGCATTTACACCATTGGTACCTCATTTGCCAGTAAAAATATGATAATTGTTTTTTTTACCCTTTTATCTGGCAACAAAACGGTGTCAGTTTTGTTGCCAGATAAAAGGGTAAAAAAAACAATTATCACTCTTATTATTATAAATTGGTGCTTGCTCCCATCCACGTCTCAAAATTGAAACCTGATATGTTTGCAATATGAACATAATTAATTGAATGTGTACTATATTTCTCTCTCTCAAGTTCATGATATGTACTAAAGAACTTTGCATTATATACGCCCAGTTGCATTCTATTGGGCAATTTGCTACCCTGCCTTCTTGTATCTATAATTTTTTACATTCAAAACATGATATTCAGTTATTTGTTTTCTCATTAAATTTCCAAAAAATCGAACTTTCCTTTCTCTAATTATTCTTTACATTTTCTACTTGTACCTGCGATAATATTTAGAAAGTGACATAAATCACCAATCTGTGAATCTAATAGATAAAAAAAAAGATTGTTTATCTCTATTGCGGCCTTCAAATCAATACCATAAATTACTAATCTCTCTCAAAACAGTCACCGTTAACTTTCCAAAAAGTGCTACCCATTTTATCATTCCGGAGATGAGCATATGAAGTCATAAGATGCCAATTGTAAATATCACATTAAAATGATGAGTTTGGTGCTCTGTCACAACAGCATCACTTTCGATGGAAACACCGTCACCCCACAAATGAGACACACAATTTTAAAAAATATGTACATTTGCTAAATTTTCAAACTGTGTTAATTCAGCATTTTATAACATAATAAAAATATGTATGTTGTGTCCCTCCTCGTATCATAACACAACATGTGGTACATTGGCACTGGGAGCTATCTGCAGAGGTATTGATGTAGCCACTGTTGCAGCTGCATTTGTAGCTGCCGAGCACATTTGTACATGTTTGATTGCAGACAGGCGGCACGGTCATACACTCATCCACGTTTGGAAATACAACACATGCGATCAGATCAACGGGCTACTCAGAAGCTTAGTGCTCTTTTGTTTTATACAAAGTTCAAGTAAACATTATCCAAATAGTTATTATGAATTGATGTTATGTCGTGAGCTTATTTTCGTGAACTGTATAATCCTATCTGGGCGTAATTCAATCTGGGTCTGTCCAGGTTGGTGACCTGGAAAATATTCAAAACAAAGGAATTCTAAGCTCAGCAGTCACCTTTGCTCAAGGGATAAATAATAAATATAATAATTACTTAAAGCTTTCGTGACTGCAGGAATTCATATTCTTTGGATCTTTCGGTCAAGTCACAGAGATAGGTTCAAAGAAAAAAACAAAAAACTACTTGAACCTATCTACGTGACTTTACCGAAAGACCTAAAGAATAATAATTATAATAATCGTTATTAATGTTTATATTAATTAAAATTGTTAGTATGATCCATAATAATCATAATTTATATTATTATTTACCCAGGAAGCCACACAGTCAACGTCTCTTTTTAGCAGAGATCTGTATTTTATATTGATGTTTAAAAATATATTCAGATATTTTTAACCAATTAACGCATTTTTAATGCACGTGGGAGGAAACCGGAGCGCTCAGAGAAAACCCGCGCATGCGAGGAGGCAACACTCTCTCCCAAACAGATAAGGCAGATGATATTGGTCCACACTTGCTCTACCACCTTCTGGTGAGTCAGGGCATGGCACCTCGACGTGCACCCCAAAGGGAAGGGAGTTTAGCAACATTTGTGTGATCAGCCAAACTTCCCTTCTCCATGGTGGAATGCAGGTTTGTGACAGCTTTAAAAAATAATAATCTAAGTCAACACCATACCATGCAATACAATGGGAATTTATATCGCATATAAATGCAACTGGACCTCAAGATGCCATACACTAATTATGGGTATTATTGGGCATTCAGTAATTGTGTAAAAACAAAAGGGACATATATTCAACAGTATGGGTGAATATGGGAAGGAAATTCAAGACTATGGGGACAAGCAGAGGAGAATGAGCGACCTTCCCACTGATAGAAGTTTGACCAGAGGCATCACATCTAAACATTGGTGGCTGGTTAAAAAAAAAGAGTGTGTGGAGGGGAGTGGAGTAAAATGAGAGGTCAGAGGCAGACGGGGGCGAGTCCAAGAAGGAACCTGAAGAGGCTGAGTGAGATTTTGAAATTAATCCCGTGATTGGACTGAGAGCCATTGGAAGTAATTAAGCATTGGGAGCATGTGGTCCCGTTTATGGGTGTGGGCGAGAAGTCTGCTAATGGGATTTGGGGGAGGCCATGGAGGAGAATGTTGCAGTGGTTGAGTCGAGGCGTCATTAAGTAGTGGAGCAGGGGGGTCTCAGCTGCAGCTGCGGGTAAGGAATTGGTGGATTCGGCAGTCGTTGCACAGGTGGAGGCATACGGCTCTGCAGCGTTAAGATGCACGGGAAGAAGAACGAGCATTCGGGATCAGTGCCAGCTCTGCTTTGAACAAGACCCCCCAGCTGCAGGCAGTGAACAAATGTTCGCACCATAACACTTGGATCCATTTCCTGTGAGTCCTGTAGGGCAAGGTCCACAGTTAAAATCCACGGAGGGCGGAGGCTGGTCCAAGCATGCTACACCAGGATGACATGGGTTGTCTGCACAAGCATCGAAGTTGTCCGTGCATTGCATCCCTGTGTACCCCGGGTTACACTTGCAGCCAGCAACCTTCATACACACATTTCACAAATACTCATTAGAACACAAATATATGGACTAATTGTCAAATGCAGGATTCCTCCCTCAGATTCTCTCTGTCTCTTGCAAGCGTAATGAATCTTTGAGTATGAGAACTTTCAATGTAAAAATAAGCTCATTATAAGTACATGCACATTAGAGGTGCAATGATGCATCAGTGTAACAGTTCATCGATTCAGTGATCAAAATCGATTCTCACACTAACAGTACATGCACAGAACCATGTGGGTGAGTATCGATTAATTATTTTCCATTTGTAAACTTTGTATGTAATTAGGTGATCCCTGTGGTCACTGCAGGTGCTAGCTATAATACAGCACAATGTTCTACAATATAATAACAATCTCAAATAAAATAGAAATCCAAAATTATAACATGATGAACTGCCTAGCTGACCTGAAAAGTGGATCCATCACTGCTGTTGAGGCTCAGGGTGGTCTGGTTGTAGAGGCACGTGGAGTTCGCGCTGCAGTTGCACAAGGTGAGGGTGAGCAGCAGCGCAGAGGAGGCCTTGCCGTCGCTGGCGCTCACTACGCCAAAAACTGGCTCTGAGCTTCTGGGGCTCCACGTCAACTTGCCATCGGCTGCAGAAACCCGCCAACAGCAGCAGTTATCAATGAGCACAAATCAAGGGCCTTTGTAGACGGAATTTTATAGCGTTGTATATTTTAATTTCAGTGACATAGCCAATGCACTACACACCTGTCCGGTGGTAGGAAACAAAGGAAGTGGGGTTTCTTACACCGTGAACTCACCTGAAATGTTGATGTTCGAAGAATTGGTTACAAGTGAGAACTCAATTTTGTCATTGTTGACATCCACCGCGCTGATATTTACCAACACTGTTTCACCAACCATGGCATTAATTTGTCCACTGCTCGTTATATTTGGAGGGAAATTTTCTGCAGAAAAAAAGTCACAGGCGAAGATTGAGATGCTGCAACACTATCGTTTGGTGTTGTTTATGAAGCTTGAAGCAAGCTATCGCACTTGTCTTAGCCCGTTTTAGTTTGTTTGGCTTTGGTGATAACTATTAATAAATAAGCCAATAGTTTTTCCATGGTGCTAATTATTCACACATACCCCTACGAGGTAAGTAAACATTTTTACATATCTTCGTTTTGTAAATAACTGTATTCAGATTTTTTATTTTATCATGTTTTGTTTACATCTGTTTATCCAGGAAAGCACCACTGAGTTTTTTTCAGGAGGGTCTTGCTATTTTTGCGGGTATTCTTTTTTTTACATGTGGCTAATTTTGATCATGATGCTGGCACACACTGGATCTTTAATATCCACTGTGAATAAGACAGTGCGCGTTTTGTTTACGGTTAATCCACTGGCAGTATTAACCTGGTCAGCCCTGGGGTTCAAACCACAAACTCCTGCAGCAAGTGGCAAATTGTCATCCATTGGACAGTAGTGGAAATTCCATATTTCCATAGCACACACCAGTTTATCCATAGGATAAATCCAACGAAACCATCCCCATCCTACCAGGATAAACACCGTTTATGTTTTAAAAGAATGATGACTCCGTGACTAACATCTTATTAATTATATATATACTGTAAGGGATCGTGGTACCTATCGTTTTTACAGTATTTGCAAGGCTAAAACATTGCTTTGGTTTTGTAATTATGTTTTTATTACAACAACATGCAAGCCCGGCATACCACACCGAAAAGTTCCAACAAAAAGACAGGAAGAATCCGCGGACATCCATTCTGGAAAAAGCATTGCTTTGTTAATAAATTAAGATTATCATGTGGAAGGTAATCCATTATGTTGACATGTTTTGCACTTTCATGTTTGTTTAAATGTATTTTTTTTAAATGTTCATGCCGTTGGCTTTTTCCCACTTGAATGTGTACCTCGTAAATAAGTTTTCCCTTTCTTCAGGTAATAAAAGGAATTTTGAAAAAGTCTCACAAGAAATACACATGTTAATGTATTTTTGGCCTATTTAATAAAGGCTACTTGAGGCAGTGTCGACTTGAAATTTATATATTAATATAACGCGTATATTTATTTATATTTCGATATATATTTATATATATATGCATATGTTGTATGGATATTAGCATAAGCGTTACATTGCCTTCATTGTGTCACAATATTTATCTACAAAAATCCACAATAAAAAATTAACCCGATACACAGTTCAGATTTTCAAATCTATGTATTCTCGTTTGTTATGTATATTGTCTATATCAGAATGAGAATGTGTATTTACTATACTGGAGGAATCCGATGAACTACACAGCTCTTTTTCACAGATGTCCAGTCGCGGCGGGTAAGAACGTTACAACAACAAACAGTACAAAAACACGATAGGAGTGCAAAGTACAAGAAAGGAAAACAAATTACCAAAACACATACAAATACAACTAAACCATCCCCATCCTACCAGGCAAAGCCCACTGAGGTATTAACCTAGTGTTCAAATGACAGCTCAACAAAGTGGCGTATAATTTTGGACATTTATACTGGTAGGAACCTCCTGGTTACACCAGCCCACAGGGGATTATTGTGTCCGTCCGTCGTGCAGGGAGGGGCTGGGTGGGAAGGGGAGGGGCTGGTCACCCCGTGGTGCCCTTATAAAACTCAACGTTTAACCTACTCAAGCCACGCCGCCATTGACCCTGGCCATTGACCGAGCAACCTAATGTTCCTACCAGCTCCCTCCATAGGAATGTGTTAGCAGCCAAATAATTTCAACCCTCAGACTTTTTTTCGTGGACCACCTTGCACCAATAACTACTCTAAATCGTAATATCTGCAACAATCTTGCGAACCACTTACCACACCCCTTGTGAACCACCTGTGAATCCTCACTGATCTATACTGAAATGTTTTTGAACAGTCTAGTTAGTCTTCAATCACGTCCTTTACTCAATAACTTTCTCAAATAAACCTGTGTTCTTCTGCCTAGAGGAGTGTTGTGTGGGAGATGCGGTATCAATAATGATTAAGAAAGACATTTTGTTTAAGACGTACGTAGCACTTTGCCCAATGATGTGTAGACTCCAGAGCTGTCCCGTGTGGCCAGTCCAAAGTTGGTGTTCCCTGTACTCAGAACGTCAAATATGCAGTCCTTCTGGCCTCCGCAGGAAACATTAACACTGGCCAGTTGTTCTGGAGATGTCTGATTTATGAGGTCTTCATAAAACACCGGCATGAAGCTGTTGTTGTTAAAAGTGTCCCAGCTCTCCCCAGCACTGGTGTTATAGGTGAACAGACTTTCATTAGCTGCAGTTTTCCCTGTAAAGATATATTTCACAGCATAAATATCCATTATTTGTACTATCTTTAACGTGTCTAATACACTCAAAACTTTCTTACATTTTTAGGAAAAATTGCCATATTTAATTGCTAAACGTTTTAATTTGAGTCATATAAAAGTTCCAGATATTAAAACACATTATGTGGTCCTATTATTATGACACTCGTAGCTTAACTGTAGTGAAGACATTTTAAACATTTAAATTACAAATACAGAAATTACATTTATCAAATAACGATGAATGTACTTGGGCTGAAATTATATAATGACTAAAACTGCAGTTGATGACGTCTATTTAATGTATCAATGCATGCAAAAGTGTGTATGTTAAACCCTTCAAGCAAATGTTTACAGTGATCTTCTTCACACCACTTACATGTAATTGCAAAATCATACAATTTAGCCTCCGCAGGCACATCTGCTCCATTAAATGGCAGCACAGTTCCATTCTTGAATGTGAAATCATCTTTTGGATTATAGTTGAAAACACCTGTAAATATTTATGTTCGCATAATGAACAAAAACGTTAAAAGCATATACGGTAAAATATATATCGATAACATTACCAAGTTATCTCCCACTTGCCCCCAATTATAGAATGTCACTGTGGAGGTCACACTGACCCAACTCAAATAACACCAATAATAAACCTTACAGTAACTGCTCTCCATTTTAGTTTCTGTACGTATGTTGAATTTATTTCACTGTACGTAGCCAACCGTGCTAATCGGAGGTGCGGAGGAAGGACAATACACTAAACACAAAAATATTGCGAAGGTAGAGGCCAGTTTATCCAAAGATAAACCACTATTCACTTCTTACAAGGTGATACTTGGTTTTTATTGACCCCTTGGGCACTATAAAAAACAAAACTGGCACTTATATCACGTCTTTGTGAATCCTGTGCGAGTGGCTTCCTAGGATTCCCATTCTGCAGACAGCTTTGAACATCAGAAGGAGAATATATAGCCCAGGAAAATACCACAGCCTGTTTAGAATGACGTTACGTAATAAAGTGTACATTTATACTTATTATTACACGCTTCCTATTACTGTAACTCACTCTGTTGTTGTTGTCGTATCCTCAAATCTAGTAACTCAATTTTAACCCACTCCCCAATGTGGTATCGACTGCAAACTTGGTATACTTTTGTCATACTGATGACAATACTATATTCTATCATTTAAAAAATATATTTGTAAACATTATTTTTACACGATTTCTAATAACTCACTATGTTGTTGTCGTATCCTCAAATCTTGTAACTAAAATTTTACCCACTTCCCAATGTGGTATCGACTGCAAACTTGGTATACTTTTGTCATACTGATGACAATACTATATTATATCATTAAAAATATATATTTTTAAACATTCATTTTATATGTTATGTTTCGGCTTGGGTCTAATTGTCCACGCTCAACTGACGTTGGCTGTAAATCACCACGGTCCCTTACGTCACGGCAAGCTTCAGGGCCACTTCCTGGAGTCGTGGAGTTCTGCCATTACTAGTGCGGTACATTTCATTAAAGCTGTTTATTAAAAAAAAAAAAGTATTTTTAAATATTACTTATTAGAGTTGTGCTGTACAGCTCTGCGATGTATTTTTGGAATGTGGTGGTTTTTTTTCGATGATGTCTGAATTTTTCGCTCCACCCACTTCCCGAAAGCAGCGCCCAGAATCTGAAGAAGCTCCCAGCACGGGGATTGAATCGTTGAACAACATGCCGAGCAACACGTGACAACATGATCGGAAAATGCCACGGAAGAGCTGAACGTTTAAAATTAAAATCTGCTTGCCCTTGGCCCACATTTACTTCATTGTGAACGAGCCGCCAAACTCACCCAGCAGGCCCTGTGTTTTGGCAGATGCAAAGCGCTCGGGCAGTAGCGTGATGAAGTTGAGGGCTCCTGAAGTCCCCGACACGTTCACAGAGATGCCCGAGGAGAACACGGCCGCCACATTCGCTGGGCCCGTCTTAATCGCTATGTTTCCATTGCTATACGAACCTAACGAACCTGAGAAATTCAAATTTTAAAACATCCGAGATTAGTTGTGTCAGTTCACTACCAGTGTAAATTACTTCACATGTACTACTGGATAATGGCCTTCCCACGCCGTGCAGGCCAGTGGTGACCCATCCACTGTCCAAGCTCAATTCTGTTAGGTTCTGAGATCTGATGAGATTGGGTCCATTGTTGGGTGATTTGGTCATTGACGGTTTATTGCAGAATAGGCTCGATTTCCTTCTGAGAACTTACCAATTATGATTAACAACATATCATACCTAATATAGTTAGAATGTAAAGATACCTTCCATTGATTAACCTCATCATTATGCATGTTTAGCGCTGATCCTACACCAACGTCTACAGCAGAAAATCGTCATCATCCTTGCTCATCCTTCCTTTTCATCCTATCAATCTCATTCGGAATCCTGTACACATACGATTAAGTATTTCAGTTATTGTTCAACTTCTAATTTACATTCTGTGTAATATGGCACAATGGTGCATTCACATTTTGCTAACTTCTTAATTTGTGGATTTGTTTACAGGTGTTTAAAAAAAACACAGCTACTGCACATCTCAGTCACTATTGTAATTTAAAAATATATTTCGTCAGCCAATTTGTTCGATTTGTTCTTAACTTCTGCCTCCCTGTCCCGCTCCCCACCCACTCAGCATTTCAACAGTGCACTTGTGCTACGAGTTAAATGATCCATTCAGAACTGTTGTCATGTGTCCCATCACCCCATGGTTGGAGAACAACCAGTGGAAGTTTACACCACAGATCCACACGTGATATTTTCTTCAGTTACTGCTTTTATCCACACAAACTGGAAGGCGCTATACTTTCCCCATGCAGAATGATAGTTGATGCATGTTTTATGCTTTAACTCCCAGAGCTTAAACTTCGATCAGATTAAGTGGAAAGAAAATGTTTATGCGGTGGTGGGATTTTTGTTTTATGTAGTTACTGTTGACCTGGCTAAGTCACCAAAAACATCCTACACTGAACCCTGAGCCACTCAGTTTCATCTAGTTGAAACAAAAATGTCAGTGTTGCTCATGAAAAAAAAATGTTTAGGACACAATATATCCTTATATAGGGAATATTCAGACATCACTGGCTATGATCATGCATCGAAATGTATTGTCAAAAGAGATGCTAAAACTGTAAGTGCATTATATTAAAATGAGTGTTACCGTTTACAGCCACAACTGCACCGTTGACTAACATTACAATGCTGGTGTTCTTCAGGATCCATTCAACCTATCGAACAAATCATATTTTTAAAAAGGTTTAACAATCTCACAAGACTATAGGATACAAAAAGCATTGCAAAAAATACAGATTTCTCAAATATATCCCTCTGAAAATATAATTTTAGGAAAGTAATTATACTTTTAGAATTAATTTAGCACATTATTCAATCAAAGTATTTCAGTTGCTTAATTTAACAAACGATATTTATTTGTAAGGTTATATTTTTACATCCGCTCTATCTGGGCACAGTTTGAACATAGAATCCAGACCATAATGTGAGCCCACATAATTTGCTTCGCACACATCCTAACATTTAAAATGCTATAGTAAAACAAATCTACCAATGTCAAACGATTAATATTATGTTGTATTTATGCAACCCAGAAAATGTACATAAATTGTCTACCTAATGTGGATTGTTTAAAGCTGGTAAAGATAAATACAGCAATATAAGGTGTTGGTTTAATTTAAATTCTCAATAATGATTCAGAAAATGTTCCCATGACTAAATATTTCATCAACATCGTACATTAGTGGCCCATTAACAGTTAAGAAAATTACTCAAACTCTTTGGTTCTTTCGGTAAAGTCATGTAGGTAGAGAAAATATAAAATGAAAAATAATAAATCACGACGTTTCGACCGCAACACAAGCAGTCGTCATCAGGAAATATAGTGAGGGATCTGCCGCAGCAAGAGGTTATAGAGGTTGGAGCTGTGTGCAACCCAAGGGTAATTGGGCGGGGCTATAGATGGATTTGCAAGTAAATGTAGAAGATTAGCGTGACTAACCTGGTGTGTGTGTGCTGTGATGTTTCCATCCTGCCTGTCGTTTGGCTGTTACCCTCCGACTCTCTGAGTTGTATTTCCCTGTTGGATGCCCTTGCATTAACAGGCTCAGGTATCACTAACATGGCCGCTTTTGCTCCCTTAGCCTAGATGTATCGATGGCTCTTGCTGTTTCATGGGCTGTATGTCTCACTGGCTCGGCCACCATAGCCCTTTACACGCTTTCCTCTCACAGCGCAGCTGCCAATGGTGTAGATCCTGTGGCCCTTGAGGTGTTTTTGTGCCCGGTTCTCTGACATTGACATGCTAATCTTCTACATGTACATGCAAATCCATCTCTAGCCCCACCCACTTACCCTTGGGTTGCACACAGCTCAAACCTATATAACCTCTTGCTGCGGCAGATCTCTCACTATATTTTCTGATGAAGACTGCTTGTGTTGCGGTCGAAACGTCGTGTTTTAATATTATTAATTTTATATTTTCTCTACCTACGTGACTTTACTGAAAGAACCAAAGAGTATGGATTCCTTCAGTCGCGAAAGCTTAAAATCAAAATTATTCAAACTGATAACTATTGTACACATTTACACGTGATAATTAACATGCAATGTTAACTAATTACCATCAGCTATGATCAATCCACTGCTGGATGAAAGCCTCCCAAAATCATCGGCGATCAGGGGCTTAATTTCTCACTAAATATTTCTGTAACACTTTAAGGCTAGTGTGCAGTCGGGATTATCATCATGGGGCACGGTCAGTACAAGGTACTCCTGTCCGTCATAATCCTAGACACACCACTGCTGTATCATGAGGACAAAATAAGGAAGGAATGGATGTGGCATGCCGAGATAAATCCCGAAACAGCAATCCACGGTCCCGGCTGAATTTAAGCACTGCTCACGGAACTGCGACATAACAAAATTAAATACCGATAGCAACTTGTCTTCCATATGATAATATACCTCGCACAGTGCGTGTTCTGTGCAGTCAAATCCCTACATTAATCTGCCATCCATTTACACCCGAGACCGTTTAACAACCACCTGGTACGTACCTTGTCATCACCGATCTGCTGTGCTACGATGGCTATGAATGAAGTGGCTTTAGTGATCACATTGGCACTCGCATTGGCGCTTGCAATTCCAGTTCGACCCTGCATGGTGAAGTTTATGACATTGTTTGTAAACACTTCCAGGATTGTGTACTCTCCAAGGCCGTTAAACGTGTAAGAGACGTTGTCCAGTGTTGTGATGTGAGGGTCGCCAATGAGAATTGCTGAAAAAAATCAAAAGAAAATGTTTAATATCTATGGGACCTTTTTGCCAGTATCGAAATAATGAAAACTAAGAAGTCACGTTGATAGGTTCAAAGAAAATAACCAAAAAGAACAAAACACTACGACGTTTCGATCGCAACGCAAGCGGTACGTCATCAGGACCGCTTCTTCATGGTTTCCATATAAAGGTCAAGGGTAATAATGAAGATCAAATCGATATTTTATTTTGTCCTACATACTGATATCTGTTAACAATATAGACAACAGTGAACACAAATTCAGAGAAGAATCACCGTAGAAAGGTGGTCTGTAGTATGAACAACGGTCAGAGGGACGCCTCTGCTGGTACATATTGCACAGTCCCTTGTCTCCAGATCTGCAGCAAGCGTTGTACGGGTCCACTTCATTTGCTGAAAACATATAAAAAATGTAATGTAAAGAATGAATGACTATGGCAACAAGTCCACAAGTCATTGTTGCATATGCGTTCAAGTTCTATACTCATGATTTTCAAACATGCTGAATTGTAAATTTGACAAAAACAAACATACTGCGCATACGTAACAATAATTAACAATGTCGCATCTGTAAAAGGTATATTTTACTCAATTTAAATAGACTGTAATTTACATAAAAGAAGGATATGCTGTCATGGTTTAATGGTTGGCAATCCAAACGTCGCCGGTTCAAATACATATTTCGGCATAGCAGTTGATACATTTCCTCCAACCTCGGTCCACCTAACAGTATTACTATTTACTGTTATTTAGCTTGTTCACCCAGGACAGTCTCACTGAGTCTCTTTTTCAGGAGGGTCCTGCCAAGTTTTCACAGGAGGGGGCAATGATTGCTATGTACATCCAAGCGAGTCATCTCTTCAAATTTGGCATATATTGACCATGAAGCGGGCATACAATGGCCTACTTCTGCAGATGACGCCACGGGGTCTTTAAAGTCCACTGAATGAGTCAGTGCATAGTATTTTCATAGTTAATCCACCTGCAGTACTAATCAGAGCAGCCGCTAGATTAAAACCGTAAACCTCTACAACAAGATGGTGCATGCGCTATTACTGAGCCACGTTACTGCCTTGTAAATGAGTACACCACTAAAAACTTTTTTCTATTTTACCAGGTAAGGCCAACTGAGCTATATAGCTATTTTTCAGAAGCGACCTGGCCACAAATGATAGCACAACGAAGTGGCTTATCACATGGAAATGTATAGCAGCCAAATACTCTCAACGGATATGTCTAAATGTCGAGGGAAATACCAAAGGACCAGAGAAAATCCACGCGACCATGGGGAAATAACATGCAAATTCCAAATATACAGGCATCGGGGTCAGGATCAAACCCACGACCTTCTGTATACCAGGTGAAGTAGCTAACATCTCAGGTCATGTGTGGTGGGATAATGTGTGGGTAATCCCACCTCTTCCAAAACCAGCATGGAAGAATAGGCCAATGACCCTCTCAGAGGGACTCTCCAGAGCTCCCTCTTGTGGGAGGCCCTTCTGCCAACAGTGGTGTGAGCAAGCGAATTGCCCCGGCTGCACCTTTGACCTCTTGAGTTGACCAGGTTAAACTATTTAAACTTTGGGGCTTACTCAGGTACTGCTGATTCGATACTCTTGACAAACTCGTCCAGGGGGTGGGGAGGTAGCGCTCATACCACCCGGACACCAGGGCGCCCCATCGGTTGTAGTGGCATCTCACCCCTCCACCATTGGCATCTGTCCAGAAGTTTTGAAGACTCCAAAATGCACCTGGGAAAAAACAAAAATAATCAACTTTGGTCTTAGCACAAGAGGGTAAAGGAAAAAAATATTTACGGATGACATACAATGTGCGTTAAACACATATACAATGGAGAGCGGGGTTTTATTTTGGCCCAAGAGGGAACGATAGCACGTGTAGAAGGAGTAAAGGAGAAAGGCACATAGTTATCAGCATTTTATATACTTAAATAAAAGCCTTTAAATATGAATGTAATTTGTAGTTCTCATATTTTGCCCTGCTAAATGTATTTAATAAAACAGTGGTTGCATTTTGGGGGATATTTTGTGAGCTGGAATAAATATGTCAATTTGTCTTCCAGCATGACGTGAGAGATAGTTACATTGCTTTACAATACAATGTAATAAAACAATGTTACATCACAACACATGATCGCAGTGATGCAAACTGGCCAGTATACGACGATATGCCACACCGACACTTTTCAGAACACAACATGGGTACACACCGGGCACTGTTTAGAACTTTTTTTTTAACCGAAAGCAAACACTCGTCTTCTTTCTTTTTGAGAGATAACAACTGATGACATGGGCTACAGGAGGAATATGTTTTCATACCAGGATTTTCCATCTTCCATTTCGACCAATGCAATGCAAGTAAATATTCGATAAACATTTACCTGGGACATATGGAAGCTGGTAGCCGTACGTGGTGATGAGGTTTCCATCCACGTAGGACATGTCAAACATTCCTTGCCAAAAGGAACAGGGACAGCTCTTGATGGGGTTGATAGACGGCTGAGCTGTATCGTTTGAATACCAATTCAGACACTGATGCTTTGTATTTTTTCTATTTGGCACGATGTCTGTCAGATTGTAGGCGAATCTTCCATTTAGGCCTGAACAAAACAAAATCATTACTCTGTTAGCATTGTGTGAATAATATATTGTTTAACTCTTCATTTCCATATAAGGGTTAAAAATATATACGGTATTAAGATATCATCACCATACAAAATAACGACCATATGTGTACAAATGTTTTATTTAGAAGTAGTATTCTCTGCATCAAACCTAAAGCGTCGTAAAATCCGGTGGGGCAGGAGGGATTTAGAGGCGGCTGAGCTCCTCTGCTGAAGGTTCAGCCCACCCACCTCTCCACCAACCCACCTACACACCCCCCACCACCCACCTGCCCCCCACCTACCCCCCACGCAGCCCCCTCACCCACCCACTTACCCCCCCACCCACCTACCTACCCACCCTCCACCCACCTCCCCCCACCTAGGCCCCCCACCCACCCACCAACCCTCCCCACCAACCTATTCCCCCACCCACCCACCCACCTATTCCCCCCACCCACCTACCTCCCCACCCACCTACCCCCCCACCCACCCACCTCACCAACCCACTTACCCCCCCACCTACTCACCTCCCCACCCACCTACCTACCCACCTACTCCCATTCCACCTACACTCCCACTCACCTACCCTCCCCACTCACCTACCGACCCTCCCACTAAATTATTATGCTCCCTAAAATGATTAAAGTGTGAACATGTTAGGTTTTAAAGTGAGTCAAGTGGGGAAATGAATGCATCAGCATGGATTCCGTAATGCTTTCCCGCATGAACGTTTGCTCTCGGAAGTATGTTTTTGTAAACATTGCTACGGTGTATGGATCAGACACGTGGACGTGTACAAAATAAAACTGAATAAAAAACTGAAAAGTTCACAAAGGAAGTGTGTAGAGGTGATAGTGCATCCTCGGAATTGCATAGAGACTTAGAGGAGCACTTGGATTCGAAAACCTATACAAGTTGAAGGCGATCAAATTTTACTCCAGTTTTCATGCAAGTGATTTGCCTGAAGGGTAATACATATAAAAGTGGCAGCTAGGGGGAGGGAATGTTCCCGAGAGGACATCCACCGGGGAGATGGAGCGATTAATTCAGTTGGCGTGCGAGGCACTGAGGTGGGTTACTATGTCAGTGGGCAACATCTTTCTGAGGACATCCAGTAATAGGCTGATAATAAACAATATGTAAACATATATACACCACATTATGCACGTTTACCAGTAAGCAATCCTTTGACCTGGTCGGGACGATACTTGGTTGTTGCATTCAATGACACTGGGTCGATGTATGCGGCAGATGTTCCACTTGACAAAGATGATAAAAACGTGGCATTTTAGAATCAAATACAAGCACATGCTATTTCCACAAGCGGCAAACAAAAGTAGATGGTGTTAAAACAGTGAATGTTATAGTGTGTAGCCTCATTGCGCTTTAAATACTCCTAGGATAAAACCTAAATGCTGTACTGCATTGCATACCGCTAGGCCACTCGATTGTTGTTGTGTTCCACTTCACAGAAATGAGTGAAGTGTGTTAAATCATTGTTTATTAAGAACACCTCTGCTACCCCGGAGATTAAATGTGGCTGATGATGGTGACGACGCTGCCTTGTCTACTTTAGAGAATGTTTTTTTATGCATTTGCTTTAGAGAAGTGGTTCTTCACCCGGGGTGTACACATACCTGCCGGGGGCGTGAGACATGCCAGATTTTTTTAGAAAGTAAATGAACGAAACACAAATTGAGCACGGTCACCTAAGTGCAACTATTTTGTTTAATCAAACCCCATGTATTTACTATCATTTTGTTTACACTTGAGAACCAAAGGGATGTAAGGCTGCAGTCAAGGTAGAGAAGCACTGCTTTAGAATGTTTGACGAATACAATTTCAGGTTGTGCTCGATTTGAAATGCTTCTTTGAGATAAAATCTTAACGGAATGTTTAATCATAAGAGGGCCGAAGCTGACTTCGATCACCCACCTGTTGAATCCTATAAAAGCGTTGTTTGCCAGCTTGTCCCTAGCCTCCGTCCTCCATTGCATGCCTCCATCCTTAAACATGATCAGGCAGAATGAGTAGACGCCATCGGTGCTAATCACAGCCTGGAATGTGTTTGTCTGAAACAAAAAGAAAGACACATACCCAGTGGTTAAAGCAAAGAAGCGTAAATACGCATCATCATCATTACCATTACACAACATTTTAATATCAATATGAGAAGCAGTCCACAACTAGTTGCGCTTTAGGTATGGCTCTTTATTAAGTCAGCCGCACAATGACGCTCACTCGTAGGAAGCTCTATCTGAAAGGCGATCAGAGTTCTATTCATGCCCCATTTTATACTTTTTACTGTTCTTTTCGAAATATTCTAAACAGGGCCCCCCTCCTTCAAATCAATTCCAAATAAGTCACCCCCAACGGATCTCTAACCGAATATGTTTTACCAGTTCAATTTCCTCGCGTTTTACCCAGTCCAATTTTCCTGGGTTTTCACCAGTTCAAGTCCATCTATGAATGGAACACAAACGTCTCGCACCAATCGGCCCCTGCTCTGTGACGGCTGGTCAACGGAAAGAGAAAACGGCCCTTGCCATTCAAAAGGGATTAAGTCGTTTCTCGTACGTGCACTGTAATGTAAGTGCAATTATTTAATAAGGTACGCCTGAGATGACCTTTACAAAGAGGGCTATTTCATGCCAATAGTGAGCGTTTGGGCTATATGATGGCATTAGTGAGTGTTCGGGCTTGACGGCCAGGGGTGGGTAAATCTAAATCGACATCTGATGAATACTATAAATCACATCCTTACGTAATTCAAGTTGCTGTTGGCTGGCACAGCTGTGGCGTTTTCCCACGTGATCTTCAGCATCCATACGGGCGTGTAGGTCTGCACTTCCGTTTGCGTGAAGTTGGCTCTGATCTGCGCCTGCACCATCTGCCGAAGTTCCTTTGCGTGCGAAGTTTGGACTTTGCCGTCCGTAAAATCATACTCCTGCATTCAACAAAAAAAGTGGGGTTAAGTTAACTTGAATGACTGTATTAGACTTTGAATTATATATTTTTGTCCCAATAAAGATAATCCTGCCAGTTGGGCCAGCGGTGGAGTGAGAAGCTCTAAATCGAAAGGTTCCAAGTTCAAATCCTGGTTGGTGCGTTGACTCTGCCCACCAAAGCCTCTGGAGCCAACAAAATGAGTTACCATTTTGTGGCGAAGTCAGCAGCAATTGTCCTTTGGATAGACTCGCCCTACCATAGAAATGTGGAACTTTCCTCCACCAGCTCAGGGCCATAAACGGGAGATGAGCACTGCCTCAATGCTCATCTGCGCAGGGAATTACTGTAACTTTTTTTGACTACAATATAAAGGAAATTACACATTGTCTCAAAGAACGAAAACACATTTCTCCACGCATTAATGTTTGTTTAGAAACATAAAAGCAGTATATCGTTGGATCGATACTGCAGATGAAATTCCCATGATGATGCTGTATGATAACCTACGCACACAATTGCTAAAGGCAAGGGACAAGATTAAAAAAACATCACACGACCAATGCAATCTGTATTGAAAATGTGTAATTCGTGAATTAAGCGGAGTGCAGTCGTCATGGCAAACCTGATAATAGATCTTGCCGACATTCGACGAGAAGTCAGAATCATCCCAGAAGACAGCAATCATTGTGACTGAGAATGAAGTTGGAAAGCCACCGGAGAAGGGATTTGGATAGGAAAATTTATTCGTCTCTTCACTTTGCTGGAAGACGATCACCCCATTGTCTGAAAACTGGAACACAGGAATAGCAGATTATTACAAAGCAACATATGCATACCTGTCAACCCATAGGTTTACCATGTGTACTTGTACAGGGAAATAGAGTTTTCAGGTCCATACAGCGTAGAGCCGTTTTAGTACGGCGAAAACAAATCAATTTGTGTTTCTCCTTTGTGATGGGACTTTGTAGGATGAACGTTGAGACTTATAAGGGCATGGGGTGTCCAATAAGGTCTAAATTGGTCTGTAATAAGGTAGGCACTGATAAGGGCTTGACAGGTGTGCATGTGCAGCATGTGATGACATTGGTGTAAGTCATCTTATAAATACGTATTCTCGCGGAGATTCAAATTTTAACACAAATGTATTTGCAAAGGAATGTGACTTCAAAATGTAGTCAGGTTTACTTCGGCGTATTCTTCATTCGACGCTATATGAAGGAGTGCCATCTCTAGGGAATTACTTATTGCAGTATCAGCAGATATTGTTCTACAGACACTTATTCTCACAATATAAAGATGATATATCCATTACTGTGTCAGGAGCACCATTTACCATATATTAAATGTACACAACGGTACGATAAAAAATTAATTGTTACAATCTCACTAAAAACAATTATAATCTATAGAAATATGACTTTCACACACAGTATAGTAGATTAGCCATCTAACTTGAATGAGAATTTAAAAATATATATTTTCTTGCACGAGATATTTTACACTGAGCACTGCCACTACGGTACTTACGTATAGTTTCTGGAAGAACTTGGAACCAAAAGGAAAATCATAGGGTGGCATGAAGTACGGAGACACAAAGTCTGTCAATCGGGACTGCAGAATGATATCGTTTACATTTGTGCCATATGCAAAAAGTCTGTAATCTATGAAAGAAGACACAGACACATTCAAACATTATTCAACCAAAACGCACGCGTCTATTATACTCTACCATTAATTTAATTTGGAGCAAGTGAATCTCATTATTAAAATAAGACTTCGATAACACGTGTTTTTTTGGGTTAGATCGGGGAAATATAAATGTGTCGTTATATCCGCCACCACCCAACACAGCCAATTAATAAGGGTTGTCACGTAAAACACATGCCAATTACGTGACAATCACGTGACAAACATCACTAATTGGCTGTGTCGGGTGGTGGCGGGCTTAACAAAACGTTTATATTTACACAATTTAACCCAAATAAACCTCAATTATGGATAATATTGATCATGAAAGCCGACGTGTTAAACCAAAATAAAACATCGCAAAATCGCACTTACACCATAGCCATACACGTTCAGCCAGCAAACGCATCTTGCTCGCTTACAACGCGTCACAATGTACCTAGCTTACCACGACGTGACCTCACCTATAAGCGTGGGAGACTGTGTGGTGGTTGTGGATGGCTGCGACGTGGTCGTCGTCCCGACTGACGTCGATGTCGCGGTTGAAGATGTGGATGGCGGAACTATAACAGTCGAAGACGCGGTTGCACCTGATGGAGCTGAAGTGCCCGTTGTGTTCTGAGCCACCGTCACGGTTGACTGTGAAGTAGGTGGAACAGTCGAAGTCACAGTTGTGGCTGACGTGGAACCGAGAGTATCAGCTGTCACATTTGTCCTGCTGGTCGATGTTGCAGTTATTGGACTAGAGGAAGTGCCTGTTGTAGAGGAAACGGTTGTTGAAGTTTGCCCTACAATGGGGGAAACTGGAGATGTTGCTGTGGTCGAAGCATTTGTTGTAGAATTAACTCCGTCTGTAGAAGTTGTGATTGGTGATACTGTTGCTGGGCTTGTGACAATCGTAGAATTAACTCTGTCCGTCGAAACTGCGATTTGTGATGCTGGTGCTGGGCTTGAGACAATCGTAGAATTAAATCCGATTGTAGAATTTGCTGTTGGTGAGGCTGTTGTTGGGCTTGAGACAATCGTGGAATTAACTCCGATTGTAGAATTTGCTTTTGGCGAGGCTGTTGTTGGGCTTGAGGCAATCGTAAAATTAACTTTGTCTGTAGAAGTTGTGATTGGTGATGCTGTTGCTGGGCTTGAGACAATCGTAGAATTAACTCCGTCTGTAGAAGCTGTGATTGGTGATGCTGTTGCTGGGCTTGAGACAATCGTAGAATTAACTCCGATTATAGAAGTTGCTGTTGGTGAGGCTGTTGCTGGGCTTGAGACAATCGTAGAATTAACTCCGATTGTAGAAGGTGCTGTTGGTGAGGCTGTTGCTGGGCTTGAGACAATCGTAGAATTAACTCCGATCGTAGAAGTTGCTGTTGGTGAGGCTATTGCTGGGCTTGAGACAATCGTAGAATTAACTCCGATGGTAGAATTTGCTGTTGGTGAGGCTGTTGCTGGGCTTGAGACAATCGTAATATTAACTCCGATTGTAGAAGTTTCTGTTGGTGAGGCTGTAGCTGGGCTTGAGACAATCGTAGAATTAACTCCGTCTGTAGGAGCAGTGATTGGTGATGCTGTTGTTGGACTTGAGACAATCGTAGAATTAACTCCGATTGTAGTTGCTGTAGGTGAGGCTGTTTCTAGGCTTGAGACAATCGTAGAATTAACTACGATTGTAGAAGTTGCTGTTGGTGAGGCTATTGCTGGGCTTGAGACAATCGTAGAATTAACTTCAATTGTAGAAGTTGCTGTTGGTGAGGCTATTGCTGGGCTTGAGACAATCGTAGAATTAACTCCGATTGTAGAAGTTGCTGTTGGTGAGGCTGCTTCTGGGCTTGAGACAATCGTAGAATTAACTTCAATTGTAGAAGTTGCTGTTGGTGAGGCTATTGCTGGGCTTGAGACAATCGTAGAATTAACTCCGATTGTAGAAGTTGCTGTTGGTGAGGCTGCTTCTGGGCTTGAGACAATCGTAGAATTAACTTCAATTGTAGAAGTTGCTGTTGGTGAGGCTGTTGCTGGGCTTGAGACAATCGAAGAATTAACTCCGATTGTAGAAGTTGCTGTTGGTGAGGCTATTGCTGGGCTGGAGACAATCGTAGAATTAACTCCGATTGTAGAATTTTCTGTTGGTGAGGCTGTTTCTGGGCTTGAGACAATCGTAGAATTAACTCCGATTGTAGAAGTTGCTGTTGGTGAGGCTATTGCTGGGCTTGAGACAATCGTAGAATTAACTCCGATTGTAGAAGTTGCTGTTGGTGAGGCTATTGCTGGGCTTGAGACAATCGTAGAATTAACTTCAATTGTAGAATTTGCTGTTGGCGAGGCTATTGCTGGGCTTGAGACAATCGTAGAATTAACTCCGATTGTAGAAGTTGCTGTTGGTGAGGCTGCTTCTGGGCTTGAGACAATCGTAGAATTAACTTCAATTGTAAAAGTTGCTGTTGGTGAGGCTATTGCTGGGCTTGAGACAATCGTAGAATTAACTCCGATTGTAGAAGTTGCTGTTGGTGAGGCTATTGCTGGGCTTGAGACAATCGTAGAATTAACTTCAATTGTAGAAGTTGCTGTTGGTGAGGCTGTTGCCGGGCTTGAAACAATCGTAGAATTAACTCCGTCTGTAGAAATTTCTGTTAATGGTGCTCTTGTTGAGCTTGACGTATTGGCTGTAAAATAAACTCCTGCAGAGGGTGAGGCTTGTGTTGTATTGGTAATTCCTGTTGTTTGAGGCGGTGTAGTCGTTTGAACTGTTGGATTAATATTACCAAAAATGGTTATTCAACAAGTAATTCAATTTGCCAACTTTTTGTTAAAGGTCAAAGTCAAAGTGACTTCTCGCTCAAATGATTAGCGAGGTAGTGCTCATTGCCTTACAGTTCTGCAGTTCTGAGCCAGTCGTGTAAACTTTCTTAATAGGACACCTATTGTTGATCTCCCCCAAAAAAATGGTACTCGTTTTATCCACCACAGAGGAATGACGGGTTGAGACAACCACATCCAGGATTTTAACTCGCAACCTTCCGATTGTTGAGCTGCTTGTTCTACCACTGAGGCACCTGGCCTTTGTCAAATAAACATCAGAGGATGCAATACAAATTGGATGTATGAAGTACTGAGAGAACCTACATGTGATGGCATTACTTTATGCTGTACAAGATTACAATCTTTCATTCTTTAATTTTTTTTATTCGGCTCCTGTTGTACATTTTTTGCATCTCAATTGAAGAATACGAATTATACTCCATTGAATAGTGTCCTTTTTTTCTGGAATACTAAGGTGCAGTTGTTTAGAAAAAATGCTGTACAATTGCGAGCACAAAATGTGTTGTACATCAGTTCGCATTTCATCGTATAATACAACAATATAAAAGAGATGAAAAGAAAATAAAGAAAACAAAAACAAATCAAAGGAATTGGCGACATATTCAACATACATTGTTAATAAATATCCTCACATGCATTACATTAATCACGTAATTGAAATACTGTATATTATGCACGTACACTAATTAAAAGTGTTTGTTTTACATTTTAAATGTAATTGTTTCATCCAAAGACCAGTTAGCGTTTAGGCATTGCCGGAGAGCGAAATACGCGACACAGGTTCTGGGTGACCTCCATCACCCGCCCGCACGGACAAGCATGGTTAAGCATCGTCAACAACAGCCATGCCCGACAAGGGTGTGGTAGGAGGCGGTGGGAGTCTGCATATCCCCCCTTCAACTTGCTTATAAGGGATTACATCTTGAATCATTGCCTCACTTGATGCAGCTAATTCGGCTGTGACGGTCCCACCTGATGACGGAGACTTGTGTTGCCTCCGAAACGTCGTGATTTTTGTTTTATTTTATTTTCATTAATTTTGATGTTTTACCTACGTGACTTTACCGAAAAAACCTAAGAATATGAATCCTTGCAGTCACGAAAGCTTCAAATCTAGAACTCAGGGCCATATTAATTGGCCAGGGCTGTCCAGTGGTCCAAGTAAGATCTTGGTTAATTCAGTCATAATATATCAAAAGTACTGCATGCTGTTTGTTAGGCATTATATGTATTGTACATCTAATGCCCTTTGTTAATTCACTGTGGGATGATGGCCTACTCATGCAATGTGGGTCATGGTTTGTTTGGCCATACTTGATGCTGGTCAGTGCAGGTTGGTGAAGGTAGAGAGCACAGAAGTACAGTACAACGACAAATTAACACTTCTGTGCCAATTCCAATCAGTACGTATCCTTGAAACATCCATATCTCAAACATCGTTGATAACGTTTTCAAGCCATTTGCAATAAAATGTATCTCCACCGTTTAAAATAAAATAGCATTGTATAAAAAATAAAACGTGATAGTTAAAAAAACGGTATTTGGTCTTCTACATACGTTGACAAGTGCCATTCACGTTGCTGAAGAGATCGAAGCAGCTGCACTCATAGCCTCCTTGAGTGTTCGTGCAGTTCTGAGAGCAGTTGTGAAGACTTTTCATACATTCATCAACATCTGAATAAAAGGTGACGAGGGCATTTGCAGCAATCAGTAAATGTTCAATCCGTCACGCGCGAATAGTAGGTCCTCTATGTATTATTATTGCTAAAGATATACTTGTAATTTCATAGCCATTTGAAATGCATACAATTGTCGAGAACGGTTCATCATGATCACCATCAGCCATGATCAATCCACTGCTGGATGAAGGCCTTCCCAAGCAGTCACCATCTTTGATGGTTCTACGCTGTAAAATGCACCTTGCATCTGCACACAGCCTGAATTCACCGAACCATCACACACATTCCATTCCTCGCCTGCCACTCATTGTCTTTTATACTTATTTCATTTTATAATGCAATTATCTGCTGTAGGTATTTTACAAACATATCCTACGGGGTATCATTTTCTAGCCAGATCTGTTGGAATGACAGTCAGCAGAGTGAATGGAACCATGTTAAAATCACAATCTATGCTTCCAACCACATACATAAACAATGCTTATGTCTTTCATTCTCAATTACACCTAAACATCTTTCATTATTTCCAGACCTAGGCAGGTTGTTCCATCATTTTCCAGGTAATATCCAGGTGGACAAGTGCACTTGAAAAGGCCAGGGGTGTTGGTGCAGTTGACACCAACTGGGCCTTTGCAAGGCTGAGATGTGTTCATTGGTGGTTGACACTCATCAATGTCTGAAAAGCAAAAAGTATTATCATTAAATCACAGACCGCATAATATGATGGTTGTTTGCAACGATCAATCATTATTGTCTGCATAAATGTAGAGAATAATACCGAATCGATTCATCACGGTTGTTTTTATTTTAGCACTTCTAAAATAATTCGATAATTGAGTGTTTGCATTTGTGCTCTATAGTTATTCAATGTGTTTCCACTCTGGGTGTCGGGCAGCTCCTTCAGTGCCTGAGCCTCCTGCAGAAGCACTTGACACTGTCCGGGTGAAACATCGGACATCACGCAGGACAACACGTGGTGCAAGCCGAAAAACCATCAGTGAGCTATAATTTTGTGTTAGATCTATGTTCATTTTGATTGGACTCACAAGATATGCTCACTTGTTTTCTTTGTGGATATACCCCAATTTTTATTTCATATTAAGCTGAACTGGCAAAATTATAAATGTCCAAATGATGGCCGACTTTGTTGAGCTATCATTTGTGGCCAGGTTGCTTCTGAAAAATAAGTTAATACCTCAATGGACGTTGCCTGGTAGGATGGGATGGTTTAGTGTTATTTGTATGTGTTTGGGTGATTTATTTACCTTTCTTATACTTTGCACTCCTATCGTGTTTTTGTACTGTTTGTTGTTGTAACATTCTTACCCGCCGCGACTGGACATCTGTGACAAGAGCTTTACAGCTCATCGGATTCTTCCAGTATAAATACATGTTTAGATTCTGATATATCATTGGCTCTATCTGATGGCCTTCCACAGTTACACTGACAAAGAAAGAGTGTTTTATTTTTCGATTTAAAGCTATCGTGACTGCAGGGATTCATCTTCTTGGTTCTTTCGGTAAAGTCACGTAGAAGGGAAGTAATAAAATAATAAAAATAAAACATAATAAAATAAAATAATTCTCACGACGTTTCGGCTACAACGCAAGCAGCCGTCTTCAGGTGAAGAAAGAGACACTACCAAGCTAGGAGCCCATATATATAAGCTGGGTTGGAGGTGGAAGAGCGCCTTAACAAAAAAGAATGTGCATATGAAGAGGAATATGCTAAATTCCTCTTCATATGCACATTCTTATTTGTTAAGGCGCTCTTCCACCTCCAACACAGCTTATATATATGGGCTCCTAGCTTGGTAGTGTCTCTTTCTTCACCTGAAGACGGCTGCTTGCGTTGTAGCCGAAACGTCGTGAGAATTATTTTATTTTATTATGTTTTATTTTTATTATTTTATTACTTCCCTTCTACGTGACTTTACCGAAAGAACCAAGAAGAAAAAAAAGAGTGTTTTGTTGCATAAATTCTATACCTCCCTCTATTTGACTACCAACACCTCTAAAATAGTTGTGAGTGCACTGGGCAGGAAGCTAAGAACCTCCAATAAAGACTGCACAGGCTTTATAAACCACAGCCAAGCAGCAGAAACAACCAGAGGAAAAAAAATACCTTTAGTGTCTGAAGAGGGCACCTACATTTTTTTTTGCACCCTGCATGTTCCTAAACTGTATGTGAGTTACATAATAACTTCTGGGTAGATGTGTGCTGTGTGAGGTTGCAACAAATGATTTGTTGTTTTAAATGTTTTTACCGGTGCAGTTGCCTCCAGTATCCCTGTATCCAGCCTTGCACTGGCACGAGTAGCTGCCATCAAAGTTCTGGCAGACACTTTCCGCCGTGCATTTGTTCAGGGATGTGATGGCACACTCGTTGATATCTTGAAAACAAAAGAAGACAAATCCTTCAAAAAGAGCACAGCAAGTTCACCTTAATTCGTTCATTTGCTCCCGGTTTAGTTTTTTTACATCATCATTTACTTTGGGAGAGCGATGAGCAGAGTGGGGTGTCAACTCAACCCTTAATTTCTCAATTGTTGACGGACAAAGACAAGAATAAGTAAAGGGTCGGCAGCTTGCTGTTGCCCTGTGGTCAACGCCATGGGAATACGCGATTTCTACTTCGGACTCATGGCCATCAATTGAAGGTGAGCGATGACTCCGGTGACGAGATGTTAGCTACCTCGCTCGGTGTACAGGAGGTTGTGGGTTTGATCCCGACCCTGACGCCTGTATATTTAGAGTTTGCATGTCTCTCTCCCCGTGGTCGCATTTATTTTTCTCTGGGTCCTCCAGTTTTTCCCTCCACATTTAGAATCACCATCACATGTTTAGAATATGTGGCTGATATACATTTCAACACAATAAACAACTGCGTTGAGCTATCATTTGTGATGGCCAGGTCGCTTCTAAAAAAAAAGAGCTATACAGCTCAGTGAGCCTTACCTGGCAAAAATTAAAAGTTTATAGTTTATTTATTTATATGACTCGTTTGACTGCAGACAGCCCTTGGCTTGAGATGAATGTCGTACAGAGTGAAAGCAACGGTGCAGCCATGAAGTGCCTTTCTCACACTATCACTCGAGGAAGCTCCTGGATAAAGACCTCAGGCATCTAGGGCGTATATCCCGGCGTACTCGTCAACGATGGTCGGACGCCTTGACAGGGGTGGGAGTACCCATATTTTCTACCCCACCGCAATACACCACAACCGGCAGTGTGTCCATTTATACTTCTGGGTGTACAGAGGCGGGGGGTGGGCAGGTGATTTAAGAATCTTGCACAATTTTTACGTGATACAGCAATATTTGCACACTGCAGGATAATTAAATAAGTAAAAACATAGAGTAATCACCTGGGTAAAGTGTTGTTGTTTTATTTAAACAAAACACTAAACGACAAACTGTCCCAAAAAAACCAGCTAGCACGTGCAGAAGACATTCCTTCCCTCACTCTTACAACATCGAGTGCCACACGCATGTTGTGCGGGTTGAGATGCGTCCGCTTGTTTACCTGTACAGTTTCCGTAGGCGTCCAGCTGGTATCCTGCATTGCAGATGCATGTGTACGAGCCATTGTTGTTTATGCATATCTTGGTTTTCTTGTCGCACGGCTGTGATTCCGCACATTCATCGATGTCTGTTCAAAACAAATAATTACATTGTAACAAAGCAACATTGTACACACCAACACGGACCAATTAGTTCGACCATACACTATTATTTTAGGCTTCAAGTCTTGACATTTTTTGTAATATTCTGTCTCTGCATGGACGATGAACAGAGCGGTTTAAAACAAGTCACTATTATTTGTTTGCAGTCCTATGTCAATCAACTGACGGGATGGTCTCCCCTATGTCAGTTATGGGGGTTATTTTACCATACTTCACCCTGCTGGGCAATGAGGATTCAGGTGAAAAAATTCAGATGTCGCTCGCCACCCATGTTAGCCACGGCTGGCAATCAAACTCGGGTCACCGAATTCAGAATGATTTGCCCGAAACGATGCACTACCACTCCCCTCCAGAGTGAGCTCTGGAGAACCCCTCTAGAGGCTTTTTTGGCCTCTTCTTCCACGCTCGCTTTTTCTTCTTATGCCAACTGTCACACCAGGAGATAACATTGAACCGGCGAACTCTAAATTTAAAAGTCCGATGCGCTAACCATTACACCATGGCAGCTTGATACATTTAGTGTAACTGGAGAGATATTGTTAAGTGATGTCTTTTGTAAGTCAAGCCATGAAATTAAAAATATATATGTATTGTCAACCCAAATATTGCCATCTCTCAGTTACTTTTGTTGAATTTTCACAGCCATTCAACTTGTTAATGAACGTTACTGAAAAGGATTGTGAATAAGGGATTATTTTTATGCCATGCCTCACCTGTACAAAGGGTTGCATTCCGTCTGTATCCAGCATTGCACTCACAGGTATAGTTACCGGGTACGTTCATGCAATTTTCATTGGCTCGGCAGATGGTTGTATTCTCGCATTCATTGATGTCTGCACATGAAGAGGTACATGTTGATGGACATTTCAATTTATAATATCAAAATCAGTTGATACAAAATGGTAATTCTTCAAATGCCTTGAAACGCATTTTAGACTATTAAAATAGATAAATTAACAACCATCTGATTTATAAATGACACATATTCCTTCTGGTAAACATTAATTATTACAATCACCAAGCCAAGGCAATATGAGTACATTTACAGGAAAACGTGAAGTTAATTATTGTGTAGTGTGGTAAAATACGTGGCGCACACTGTTAGCCGAGGGCAACCTAGGACACACACGTGCGCGTGTGCAACATAAGGTTGCACGGGCAAACCGCCACCTCAATAGGGGGGGAAGCCGGTGCAAACCAGGTCGACACTAGGGAGGAGCTGGACAATTGGGAAGGAGATGTAAGGACACGTGTGAGAGCGGAGCGGGTGTTCGTGTTGCTGGGGCAAGAGGGAGAGAAGACGTCTCGCCGCTGCCGTTCAAGCAGGGGACGGACCTCGACCCTCACGAGTCGCCGGGCGGGTGATAGTTGATCCCCCCGCCCGGATCGGACGAGTGAGTGGGTTTGAGGGAACGTAGGCGAGGGCAGCGGCGCTGGGTGAGAAGCTGTGTGAGCGCTGCTGGGTGCAAGCCTCTGTGTGAGCGCTGCTGTGTGCAAGCCTCTGTGTGAGCGCTGCTGTGTGTAAGCCGCTGTGTGAGCGCTGCTGTGTGCAAGCCTCTGTGTGAGCGCTGCTGTGTGCAAGCCTCTGCGTGAGCACTGCTGGGTGCAAGCCTTTGTGTGAGCGCTGCTGTGTGTAAGCCTCTGTGTGAGCGCTGCTGTGTGCAAGCCTCTGTGTGAGCGCTGCTGGGTGCAAGCCTCTGTGTGAGCGCTGCTGTGTGCAAGCCTCTGCGTGAGCGCTGCTGGGTGCAAGCCTTTGTGTGAGCGCTGCTGTGTGCAAGCCGCTGTGTGAGCGCTGCTGGGTGCAAGCCTCTGTGTGAGCGCTGCTGTGTGCAAGCCTCTGCGTGAGCACTGCTGGGTGCAAGCCTTTGTGTGAGCGCTGCTGTGTGTAAGCCTCTGTGTGAGCGCTGCTGGGTGCAAGCCTCTGTGTGAGCGCTGCTGTGTGTAAGCCGCTGCGTGAGCGCTGCTGTGTGTAAGCCGCTGTGTGAGCGCTGCTGTGTGTAAGCCGCTGCGTGAGCACTGCTGGGTGCAAGCCTCTGTGTGAGCGCTGCTGTGTGTAAGCCGCTGCGTGAGCACTGCTGGGTGCAAGCCTCTGTGTGAGCGCTGCTGTGTGTAAGCCGCTGTGTGAGCACTGCTGGGTGCAAGCCTTTGTGTGAGCGCTGCTGTGTGCAAGCCTCTGTGTGAGCGCTGCTGTGTGTAAGCCTCTGTGTGAGCGCTGCTGTGTGCAAGCCTCTGTGTGAGCGCTGCTGTGTGTAAGCCGCTGTGTGAGCGCTGCTGTGTGTAAGCCTCTGTGTGAGCGCTGCTGTGTGTAAGCCTCTGTGTGAGCGCTGCTGTGTGCAAGCCGCTGCGTGAGCGCTGCTGGGTGCAAGCCTCTGTGTGAGCGCTGCTGTGTGTAAGCCTCTGTGTGAGCGCTGCTGTGTGTAAGCCGCTGTGTGAGCACTGCTGTGTGCAAGCCTCTGTGTGAGCACTGCTGTGTGTAAGCCGCTGTGTGAGCACTGCTGGGTGCAAGCCTCTGTGTGAGCGCTGCTGTGTGTAAGCCTCTGTGTGAGCGCTGCTGTGTGTAAGCCGCTGTGTGAGCGCTGCTGTGTGCAAGCCTCTGTGTGAGCGCTGCTGTGTGCAAGCCTCTGTGTGAGCGCTGCTGTGTGCAAGCCTCTGTGTGAGCGCTGCTGTGTGTAAGCCGCTGCGTGAGCACTGCTGGGTGCAAGCCTCTGTGTGAGCGCTGCTGTGTGTAAGCCTCTGTGTGAGCGCTGCTGTGTGCAAGCCTCTGTGTGAGCGCTGCTGTGTGTAAGCCTCTGTTTGAGCGCTGCTGTGTGTAAGCCTCTGTGTGAGCGCTGCTGTGTGTAAGCCGCTGTGTGAGCATTGCTGTGTGTAAGCCACTGTGTGAGCACTGCTGGGTGCAAGCCTCTGTGTGAGCGCTGCTGTGTGCAAGCCTCTGTGTGAGCGCTGCTGTGTGCAAGCCTCTGTGTGAGCGCTGCTGTGTGCAAGCCTCTGTGTGAGCGCTGCTGTGTGTAAGCCGCTGCGTGAGCACTGCTGGGTGCAAGCCGCTGCGTGAGCACTGCTGGGTGCAAGCCTCTGTGTGAGCGCTGCTGTGTGCAAGCCTCTGTGTGAGCGCTGCTGTGTGCAAGCCTCTGTGTGAGCGCTGCTGTGTGTAAGCCGCTGCGTGAGCACTGCTGGGTGCAAGCCTCTGTGTGAGCGCTGCTGTGTGCAAGCCTCTGTGTGAGCGCTGCTGTGTGTAAGCCGCTGTGTGAGCACTGCTGGGTGCAAGCCTCTGTGTGAGCGCTGCTGTGTGCAAGCTTCTGTGTGAGCGCTGCTGTGTGCAAGCCTCTGTGTGAGCGCTGCTGTGTGCATGCCTCTGTGTGAGCGCTGCTGTGTGTAAGCCGCTGCGTGAGCACTGCTGGGTGCAACCCTCTGTGTGAGCGCTGCTGTGTGCAAGCCTCTGTGTGAGCGCTGCTGTGTGCAAGCCTCTGTGTGAGCACTGCTGTGTGTAAGCCGCTGCGTGAGCACTGCTGGGTGCAAGCCTCTGTGTGAGCGCTGCTGTGTGCAAGCCTCTGTGTGAGCACTGCTGAGTGCGGAGCTACTGAGAGCGAGAGTTGCTGTGTGCAGGTTAGCGAGGTGGGACTTGATTAACAGAAGTTACCATAGAGACAGTGATTGGAGTGCCGACAACAGGTGCAAGAATAGGCAAATAAAGTGTAAGCAGGTGACCTGTTACAATGTGTCAGTCTGAGTGATTTTACAAGACACTACAATTGTATTAAGATGTTTTATGTCCACAAATTGTATTGCACAGTAAGGCAACAAAACATAACTGAAGCCCAAGAGGCCATTCAAATCATGAAATATGGAGCTTGTGTGCATGACTAATATTGTTACAAATACTTGTCAAAGGCTACATTTTGATCAATTTGTGATGGGCTTCATATATGTTACGTCAAATGGACTTAAAATATATTTTTTATGATACGTAGCAAATCTGTGAAAAAAAAAACTTTTGATATTTTCGCAAATATTCCACCACAAAACACCCAGTGTTCAATCCACCTGTCGCATTTTCAGAAATCTCATCCACATTAAGACAGTTTTTAAAAAATATACCTGTGCAGTAGGTCCCATTGCCAGTGTATGCGCTGGCACATAGGCAAGTGAAGGATCCATTGGTGTTCACACAGTTTGCATAATTCCTATCACAGTTGCTTTTCCCATTCGAACACTCGTCTTCATCGGCGCAGTTCATGCCATTTCCGATGTAGCCGGTGTTGCAGCTGCAACTGTAGGAACCGTCCGTGTTGGAGCATGTGGCATCTGAGTGACATGAATCATGGCCACTTGTACACTCATTTATATCTGAAAAAAAGAATGATCGTACATATCACAGTCATTTAATATAGTGTTTCAATGCTGTTTTCTAAATGCATTCATGGATATATTTTTACATGCAGTGATATCAATAGGACTTTTTTGCCAGTATCAAGACGATGAGAAAATAATAATAGGCTTTACCCTTTCTGGCAATAAAATAGGTGTTAAGATGTTCTAACACCCAATAGATACCGTTTGCACAGAATCAAGTCTGCATTAGCCACACATACTTGTTGCAACACATGCTTCTTTATGCAATACATGTCTTCTTTATGGCCCTGTCTGACCAGTGTCAGCCAATCAGTTTCAAAGACAATGCATATATAATTATTAGAGTATGTATATTTGCATGTATTACCACAAGTATGTATGGTTAATGCAGATTTGATGCCTAGCAATAGGTATCTATTTGATGTTTGAACATCTTAACACCTGCTTTATTTCCAGAAAGGGCACTTACACATATGCTAATAGTTTTACTGTATAAAGATTGTACTACCTGTGCAGTTTGGTCCAGCGTAGCCAGATGTGCAGTTACAAGAATAGGACCCTTCACTGTTCAGGCAGACCGAATTGTTAATGGAAAAGCAGGGATTGGTGGCCAATGCACACTCATCTTTATCTGTAGGAGAAAAACAAACATGAATTGAGATTCAAAAGGGGCACGTGCATGAATAGCAAAGTGTTCCCTTTGACCTCTTACATAAATTTAAAGAGCGGTATGAAGCATACTTTCTGTATGGGTCAGAGGAGATGCGGTGGGCCAGTTCACTGCAAGCAATCTGATGATACATTTACTGCTGAGAAAAACGTATTTTAAACACATTTGAGGACAAAATGGACATTCAATAGTGGATCGAGCAAGTTTCAATCAACTACCATTAATATTGCATTACCCATGGGTTGCAAGCACATCGAGCAGGGCTAATATCTACACAATTGCACCTTAATAATTAAAAACAATTTCCAGTCGTCGTGGGCTGGACACATGTATGTAGTACATGGGCCCCAGATACATCCACACCGCATTGCTTCGATGAGGTCACAAGCTCACAAAGCATGGCAAACTTTGCACTATAATTCGGCCCTTTACTTAATTTAAGATGTCCTTTCTTGCACACATGGTGAGTGAACCCCACGCGATTTGCGGTTATCTTTCCATGCCGCCTTCCAGTGCCACTTAAATGTTGTTTGTTTTCCTTAAATGGTCTTTGTTACTCAGTGTCTAGCAATGTTATAATCTCTTCGCTGATGTTACTCTCTTTGTTTTTTCACCAAGGTCCACCGTTGGGGTCATTCTTGTGAATCGGATTGAGGCCAAATGTTTCTTACCCACGTAAACAAATAGATCGATAAAAATGAACGGTTCGAAACCCTGCAATCACATGTGTTTTTTTAAGTGAGCCATGCATGTGTACATCTACAAAAGGGCATTTGCATTGTTATTCAAAAATCATCCAAGCAACCAAAGATGTAGAGCATCGCACGCGATTTCTTACCTATGCAATATAATTTTCCATCTCCTTGGAATCCAGGTTTGCATGTACAATTGTAACCCCCAGGTGTGTTCACACATTGGCCATTTGCATGACAAAGTGTAGAGTTCAAGGCGCACTCATCGATGTCTAAACACAGAGAAAAGTTGTACATGTTAAAACAATACATTTTCAAACAATATATGTCAAACACTACATGTTAAAACAATAAACTTCCCAAACAAAAATAATAACATTAGTTGATGAGTAATGAGTAACTATCCCCCGAGTTTGGGGTTTAGACTAATATAAGCAACATCTCTGCAAACACGGTATTTTAAGATGTAAATAAATGTACATTAAGTTCCAGCAAGCAAGTTGTGGGAATAAAAAAAGAGAACAATCGACGTGTTTTTTTGTGTTAAAGGCTGGAGTGGAATCAATTAGTTGAGCTCCGGAGGGTACACTTTAGCCAACTCTATAAGTTGGGGGGTAACGTCCTTAAATAATTACAACATCTCATTGCATAATATATCTATGACAATGCATACGTGTAAACCCATATCGTTTACCCGTATTCTTGTAAAGGGAAATAGAGTTTTCAGGTCCATACAGCGTACAGCCTTTCAATACGGGCAACAATAAAATGTTTGTCTATCTGTTTGTGTTTCTTCATTGTGATGGGACTTTGTAGGCTAAACGTTGATATTTATAAGGGCACTGGGTGACCAATAAGGTCTGAATTGGTCTGTAATAAGGTAGGCACTGATAAGGGGTTGACAGGTATTAAAATGTGTTTGTTTCCCCATCATGAGAAGCTGTCAGGCCAATACATTGCTGAGTCACGTGATTTTAAGAAAGACGCTGTTGCGTCCCAGGGCAATTCGGTAAGCCCATGTGTCATACGAAAACCACAGCATCCTCGGAAGTAACGTTGTTTTGCAGGCTCTACACTTGACAACCTCGATTTAGGCTACAGTTTGCGAGTGGCATTTTAACTGCAAATGTGCAGGACACAACGCACCGTCGCATTGTGTGCTATTTTCTGTGTTGATGATGAAGCCAGTGGTACAGTTGCATTCGAAGCTTTTGAGCGTATTCAAGCAGGTCTGCTCGCATGGTGGGGGCGAATTGAGACATTCGTCCACATCTGAATGAAAGAAAGCATGAGACAGCATGAATACAAATCAATAATTGTGTACTCTTTTATTGTATATATCCTATTACACGGACTTAATTGCCAAAAGGTGACAATGCAAATTAAACTTTTAGCATATTTTAATCTTTGATGCAATATTTTCAACGAGAAAAATTACCATTGAGATGCAACATTTCTTTTGCAAGGAATCAATTGATCAATTCATCACAAGGTCGTTGATTCATCGATCTCCCGCCACAGCAGTTGAAAGAATCAGTACGTTTCTTAAGCCTTTATCGCTGCAGTAAGTTATTTTAATATGGTGGGTTTTTAATGTATTTTTTTTACTCAGGAAGAAAAAAATCTTCATTGATTTCCTAAAAAGTGTCTGTACTGCACCTCATTCATTTGTAGCAAATGACGGACTAGTAAACAAAATCAACAGTGAAATATGTACACACCGAAACACTTGCTCCCATTGCCTGTGAGCCCAACGGGACAGGGCCCACACGAAAAGCCTAGGGAGGGTGCAGGTTGATCTGTGCAGTTCACTCCAGGATGACAAGGGCTGTCCACACAGGCATTGTAGTCGTCCGTGCAGTACGCTCCCGCGTAGCCAGGATCACACAGACAGCCGGCAACCTTCAGACGATCGCAGCAACATGGCAAATAAATGAAGCGTGACACGGGTTATGTACGCAAACTAAAGCCATCTTCCCGCTAAGGGCCGATCAAGCATTATGATGAAACGGTATATATTCAAGCACACCAAAAGTGGTAAGAGGATGCTGTTTTCTGATACCACAATGATTTTTACAAAATCATATAATCTGTCCCTTAGTACTCAATGAAAACGTATTAAAGTTGAAAAACAGTACATTTTGTGTATGTTTGGGTACATTTGAATTCAGCAGTGTCTGTACATATTGGGTTATTTAAAATGAGATCTTGACCTTTTGAATGAGAATTGATCATTATAGCCAGCCAATGAAATACAGATGAAAACTAAAACTAAACTTTCATTTTCTGCTAATTTAAGAACCGTGAATCATGTTATAAATATAGACGTTCCACCAACGCAAAGTTGCCTCACTTTATATACAGGCTTTGACGACCAAAATGATGATTCATATTAGTTCATTATGGTTAAGATCTTGCAGCTATAGTGTAAATTTTCAACTCGAACCCTTCACCACCCAACAAAGCCAATCAAATAATTTTGCCAGGTGGGCAAATGTGCCACTTTATTTGATTTATCCGCAAAAATGGAGGAAGGTTGAAAAGCCAGCAACACATTCCTGCGGAGGGAGCTGGTAGGAACGTTGGGTTGCTCGGTCAATGGCCAGGGTCAACGGCGGTGTGGTGTATTCCGCAAATATGCCCGACTGTGAGGGCGGGCACAAGCCAGCGTGAGTAGGTTAAACGTTGAGTTTTATAAGGGCACCACGAGGTGACCAGCCCCTCCCCACCCAGCCCCCCCTCCCACCCCCCACCCAGCCCCACCCTCCCCACCCAGCCCCACCCTCCCCACCCAGCCCCTCCCCACCCAGCCCCTCCCTGCACGATGGACACAATGATCCCCTGTGGGCTGGTGTAACTAGGAGGTCCTACCAGTAAAATGTTCCAGATTTGTCTGACGTTTCGCTGGAGATTACACCCAACATCATCAGTTGTCTCTGCGTTGTCTACTCTTAGACTATTTGGTTATTTCGGTAAAGTCACGAAGGTAGAAAAATAATATATCACGACGTTTTGATCGCAACACAAGCAACCGTCTTCAGGTTAAAAGAGGGGGAAATATTTCACCTGAAGACGGTTGTTATTGACGAATGTGTAAAGTTTTTGTTATTCTGCCCCACTGCCATCGTTTAATTAAGAAATTGAACTAGAATAAGCCATTAAAAACAATGTATTTGGTCAACTTTCCATGAACGTCATTTCTGAAAACAACTATCACGTAGTGGCTGCGATTGAAGTCGTGAAGTGAGGGACTTCCCAGCTGACCTGGAAAGAGGATCCGTCGCTGGAATTCATGCTCAGGGTGGTCTGGTTGTAGAGGCACGTGGAGTGGGCGCTGCAGTTGCACAGAGTGAGGTTGAGCAGCAGCGCAGAGGAGGCCTTGCCGTCGCTGGCGCTCACCACGCCAAACGCTGGCTCCGAGCTTCTGGGGCTCCACGTCAAATTGCCATCAGCTGCAACAAGCAGCACCCAAAAACCACGGTCATTTTGGTACACTGAGGGACGTAGTGGCCTCTCGTGGTCTGGAGATATGTGAACCCATTATATACAATGTGCACGGATTGAAACATCAATTCTTACACACACACACAACGCATATCATTAACGTAAGCATCGATATTAAGTATACACCTGAACATTAATTTTAGTAACGGGAAAGTCCAAGTAATCCCAGATCATATACAATTACAATTTTCTTACACTGTACAGGAAACAAAGTATGTTTAAAATCCAAATAAAATGGTCATCATTGTACACAATCGTAAGTTACAAAACGTACGTCGCAAATTAGAGTTCTAGACATGCACAAACTACTCACGTGTGAATTGTAAGGCCTGACGAGTTGGTTGCCATGGAAAATACGATGGTGTCGTTGTTGGGGTCCTCTGCATTGATCTGCACCGAGACCGTTTGATTGAGGCTGGTGAAGAGTCGACCGCCCGTTGTGATGTTGGGAGGGAAGTTTTCTGCAACAGAAATTGAACAAGGGTCATCTAAGAACTATGCCGAAGTGTGTAGTCATCCTCTTCTCATATAACACGAACCACTTATCTATAAATAAGAGTTTCGCTCTATGACGTCTTCCAGTTATTTTTTATTGTCGAACCATGTATAGATATTGTTACAATAACGGGATCGCATGATGTAAAAACACAACGATCGCATTGAAAGCCTCTAGAATGTCCCCCTCCGAACGGAGACGGGGGGGGACATAAATTCCCGGAACAGCAGCCCCGATTTCGGCGCGCCAGGTGCCCACTTAAAGGCGGGGTGGGAGACCTGGGTTCACCGCCCCATCCAGGTGGTGACCATGAGTGGGGACATGAACGTTTATACCGGGGAGGGGAAAAGGGTAGAAGGGGAGAAAATAATTAACATACTTGGTGAATACCCTTAACATACTTGGTGAATACCCTTATTAAATATTTTCTCCGTTACTCTGTGAGATACGGAGCCTTCGCTTTCTCAATACCCAACCACCTGTTGGAAATAAAGTACCATAAGAGAGTCATTGGAAATCAGTGGGGTCTCTATAAATGGATCACCCTGTATAACTGAGCCTCTAATTACGAGTTAATTTCGGTTCATTCAGTTCCCTGCCGTTCAGCAGGATATCTGAAGTGTTCCGTGGCGGGAGCTCCGAAACATTCGGTTCCTGAAGGAGATTCCAACACGCGGAGCGTGACATCAGACATTGATGGTACAACCCATAAACATATCAGGAAGCTTTCCAGCAGAGCCACTAAAACCTGCATAGTACAATCTGCAAAAACACATTCCTGCGGAGGGAGCTGGTAGGAACGTTTGGTTGCTCGGTCAATGGCCAGGGTCAACGGCGGCGTGGTGTATTACCGCAAATATGCCCGACTGTGAGGGCGGGCACAAGCCGGCGTGAATAGGTTAAACGTTGAGTTTTATAAGGGCACCACGGGGTGACCAGCCCCTCCCCACCCAGCCCCACCCCTCCCACCCGCCACCCAGCCCCACCCTTCCCACCCCCCACCCAACCCCACCCCTCCCACCCCCCACCCAACCCCACCCTCCCCACCCAGCCCATCCCCACCCTCCCCTCCCTGCACGACGGACGGACGGACACAATAATCCCCTGTGGGCTGGTGGAACCAGTGGGTTCCTACCAGTAAAATCTAGACTGTAGGTATATCTCACGCAATGCTTGGCCCTGAGATCCAAAATCTCCAGCGCTGTTCTTTGTGGCCATTCCAAAGTTGGTGTCGTTAGTGCTGAGCACATCAAAAATGCAGTCCTTTTGCCCTCCGCAGGAAGCGTTGACGAAGGCTAGTCGTTCTGGAGATGTCTGGTTTATGAGGTCTTCGTAAAATAACGGCACGAAAGTGTTGTTGTTGTAGGTGTGCCAGCTCTCCCCATCACTGGTGTTGTAGGAAAACAAGCTCGTGTTTGCAGTGATTTGCCCTGTGAAAAGAATAAGGTAATACTTTATTTTCACAAATGTGGGTGCATTTAGATGGCTTACAATACACCGTTTAGGAACTAAATCGAAGCACAGTAATATGCAGGTTTAATATCCATGTGACATGTTCTTATTTTGTTATTAAACCATTTGGGCTACGTTGCACGATATTTTGATCGCGTCGTAAAGTTAGGCATCAAGCTGGAACACAAGAGTATTTCATTAAGTAAACAAATCTTTGGTAAATCTCGGACCTATGCCAGTGAGATTTAAGTTTCAGAATTGCAGAGTGAATTGGGTATAACCCCTGGTACTTATGTGCAATTTTATCATCTCCATGAGATGCACCACGTGATCAAAAATGGTGACACCCTTCCACACATTAAGAAAAATAATGGCACTAAACGGTGACAACTGTACGAATCTAGGATTTTTTTTTAATTGGTGGAATGGCTACAATGTGGATGTGAACATGTTCATTTTGCCAATAGAAGTGGGAGGCCAGTTTTTATTCAAATTCTAGCCAACATTGATCATGTTCACAGGTTGATTTTGGATCAATATTGACATGTAAACACAATATCACGGTGTGTTGATAGAGTTCGCACAATAATGTTTTATACTGCACAGGCAATAGTGTAGCTGCTAGAAGCTGTGATGGAATAGTCATCTAGAGTAGTGGTTATTAACCTTAACTGCAGCCTAGCACCCTTTTAGTCCTCAGTCGTTGAAATGTGATGTTAATAAATACATAGGTGTGATGAAACAAAGTAGTTGTACTTACATGCCCATGCTTAATTTGTGTTACGATGATTTACACTCTAAAAAAATCTGGCCATATCTGGCACCCCCAGAGAGGGCATCTTGCTCCTCCAGGGGGTGCATGCACCCCAGTTTAAGAACCACTAATCTAGAGCATCTGGCACACAGCCGGGCGCTCGACTCTTCAGACTTCCAACTGTTTAAAAAATATATATATATAGTCTAGGTGCTGAGTGATTTCAGCACCTAGATATTCTTGTTCTTTTTATTTTTATTCAACACAGTTGCTGAGCACAGACACCAACACGTCAATTGCCCACCAACAAACAGCACTATGTTTTGGGGATACGTTTCTTGAATTGAGTAAGCAAAATAGACGATGGGAGAGAATTCCAAAGTTCAGCAGTTCATGGGAACAAGCAGGAAAATTAATGTTTAACCTTCAGTGTGGTCGTGGTTGAGCACAGTATGGATGCGACAAAACAGTAAAATTTTATTATTATTACTTGTAAAATGGTGCGGTGGTAACTATCACGGCTTAAGGGCCAACCAAAATACATTTACACTGTTGGAATTATGAAGATTATGAGACACTGGGAAACGCATATTTTAGGAGTTGAAGATGACCGTAGAAAAATAGTCTGTCAAGTTAATGATAACGGATGCTTTCTGAAAATGTACGTTTTAGTCATTGAATTAATCTCACATTAAA